AAAAAAGGAATGTGGGAGATCTAGTTATTAAAAATGAGTCGCAACACTGATTTGGAACATAGTAGTCTTTAAATTGCTTATCCATGATTGAAACCAAAAGTAGATCAATGTCTTTGAGATTCCTACTGCAAATCAAAATTTTTATAAATTACAAAAAATTTCAGATCTTGATTTTTGCACGATAGAAAAATGTGTCTATCACGTAAGTTCAGAGGCACTTGGAAGACAGATGATGATGTCTTCCCATGTAGGCCTAGAATTAGCAGTACTAAAACAGCCAGGGATCATGCTAGAAATGCATATTCATGGGCCCCACCCAGACCTACTGACTCAGAAACTCTAGAGGTGGAACCCAGCAATCATCTTTTAACAAGCCCTCTTCTATATGATCTCCATAAACACAAGAACTTTGAGAATCACTAACGTAGAGCATGGGCTCTGCAGTCAGACCCACGTGGGCCTCAGGAGTTCTCTCATGAATAGCTGTGTGACCCTGACCAATTTAATTAACCTCCCTGAGTCTTTTTCCTGAATTTGTAAAAATGAGATAATGGTACCTGCCTCAAAGAAGCTTGAGGAAGAAGTGAGATAACATATAGTAAAGTGCCTGGCACACATAGGTGCCCCTAAAATGCTAGATTCTTTGATTCTCATCCAGGACCACGATATTAAAAACAATCAGGAAGACAAAAAGTTTTTTCCACAATAAAGCTTTTCTGTAATGTGCTATGCCTCCAGCTAAATAGCCATTAACAAGACTGAAGGTTTTGATTCAGAAGACACAAGAGTAGTTATTGTTTTCTCTAATTGCATTTTGCACTATTAGGTTTTTAGTTTTAAAGTAATACTATTTATGATAGTGAGAGTATGAATGTCATTGTTACAAACCTGTGTACTCTGAATCAGTGATCTGTTGAATTCAGTGCTACTAAAAAGTGGTCTGTAAAGACCGGCTCACTGGGGAAGCCCCTCTTTAGATCCATGACGTAGTTCCCAGATGGGTATTTGGAAATGCATTTTCAAAATAGTGTTGAAAGAGAATACACTTTCTATCTTCTCAGAAAATAGAATTTATAGTTGTAGTGGTCCTTTGCAGGCTTCTAGGCCCACACCATCATGCACAGATACGCTAAACAGACTGCCTGCCTAAGTCCAGTGTGCAATGGCAGAAATGGCAAGAGACTTGGTGTCATAAACCTGAATTAAAATCCTACCTTCTCCACTTTTAGGACAAACCCTCGGTGAACCCCAGTAGCCAAAATTATGAAGGCAATGTCTTAAATATCTTGAGGAGTGTTGGGGAGCCTCTGAAGTACATATACAGAAGTGCTTTGTAAACCATAAAGCACCGTGTAACTATAAGCTCTTTATGTGACTTGTGCATCATCACAAATACAGTGTCATTATGGTGGCAGTGCCGTAGCATGACCTAGGTCTTCTGAAAACCTTCCATGGTTCCTCCCCCTACCCAACACTGACAGCATTCCCACTCTGACAAAAATCTATACAATGATTCTCACACGGCTCTCAAAGATCTATTTACTCAGAGTAGGAGAACACCGGTTTTAGGAAAGCTATCCTCTGCTATAGCATCCCCGTATTTGTCAAAAATTGTCGGTGTCCAACATCCATAGAATTCTATATTTGAGTTGTGATGGTTTTCTAGGTATGCAGTACTTTACCCCTTACCCCCTCACTTCTTAAGTGTTCTCATTCAAAGCTTCTGTCTCTGGGTTCCACTTAACTTACAACAGTGATGTTACCATTTTAAAAACTAAAAGGATGTTTTAAAATGCTTTGTAAGGTATTAGTTGCTGTGACTGATCAGTGCCCCACCTAAGAATAATTCATTACATGTTCTGTAGTACAAATACACTTGCTCTAAGAATATACGATACAGAAAATTCACGGAAGACATGAATTATTAATAATTGACAGCATGAAAAGAAATTATCACAAGGCCTATTTATATAAACTATTAAGTGGAGGTTGAGAGAGATGACTAACAAGGCATTTTTTAAAATACATTATCACTATGAATAGGATGAAACATCTGTAGGAATGCAATGTTAAGAACACAGAATCATATGATCAACTGACCGATTTCATTGTTTTAGCAATCAAAATCAAACTTTTAAATGAGTAGCAAGTATTAGAGAAATGCTCCCAATAAAATGTTTATTATGAGAAGTGGCAAATTTAACATGATTTTTCTTGAAAAGCTAATGTCAAAACTTAGCTGAGTTCCTAACTGGTAGTCATGAAGTCATGACATTTGTGACTTTCATTAGTGAATTTATATTTTGAGAGATACAAAATAATTTGGTACACCTATGGTTTTAAAACACTGTATGTTTAACCTTCACTTTTGGTGTTTCCCTTGTATGCATCATTTTTAAATGAAAAATAATCACACCTGTTAGCACTTAAATCATATACTTTTTGTATTGACACTGTATTCAGTATTCTGAGTATATGTAAGAAAATTCCACACCATCTCATCAACCTCATTTATTTTGGAGTAAAATTTAAGGACTGGTCATCTTATACTTACCTCCTCCACAGTCTCTTCAGAAGATACAATGTTACAATAACATTGAATATGGCACCCTTTTTCCAAACATAAAAACACCGAGGAAACCCTAGTTTTCATCTCCGGGGTACCTACTGACTTTAATTAGACACACCTCCTTCTAGCTGAAATTTGCATTCTATGATTTTGATAGAAAAATATATACCAGAATGTTTGCCAGTTCAATAATACATTTCAAAAAATAATGTGTGTAATCATTTGAAAATGTCAGTCATCTGATAAAAAGAAGTTCACTCACATTGGTTAAGTAGTAAGTACCTTGGAATGCTTTAAATGTAATGAAACAATCTACCAAAACACATACTTTTTCCTAGTCTTTATGCACATAATGTAGCATGAAATCATGACGCTTTTGAAATACTCTGTGCGGATATATTTATTTTTTAGCAAATATTTTCTTCAAAAGATTGGTATGTGGTATTGGCAGTGTAATCTACTTGCACAACTAGTTTTGCAATAACCTACAAATAACTGTAAATAAGAAAAATGTAAATTTCATGTAAAAATGGTTGCAGATTTTTGGTAGCTAAAAGTGTACAAGTTGTATTGAAAATATAGTATATATACATAATTTAAGAACGAAGCATATACTTTCTGATCTATTTATACATGAAAATTCAAGAATTTGTAAAAGAAATTATTTTGGGGAAAAAGAAAGTAAATCTCATTAGCTAGCTTTTATTAGAGAAGCCAACTATTTCCAACATTTTACTAGGTAGAGTGCTAGATACAGGCATGGTGGTGCTGATGTACTTCACGAAATCCCATAATTGCAACAGTGCCACTGCAGTTTTACGGAGTTCACTGGGACACTAGTAAACTGGACTGGGTGGTAAAAGCATTACGTCTAAAATTAAAGAACTGTAAAAACACTTCACTTACTATTGACTGTCAAGCACACAGTGGTAATTGACTAAAACGTCTACCGTTCCATTATTTAAAATTTCTGATAACTGAGCAGGCTTCAAATTACATGGGACACATTTGGTATAATGCGTGGATGGTTCATTTTTTTCGTCAAGAATGAAAATATCCAGATAACATTATTTTCATTTGCCTATGTTTCATATATTCTAATTCCTCCCCTAGAATCATTTATCTATTATTTAAGAAAAAGCATCTATCTTCAGAGAAACCTTTTCCACAAAATCAGTTGGTCATAATGTGGCATTTTCTAAGCTAAGGACTATTTACTCCGTTTAGTGGTTTAGATTCTCCACCATTCATTTTTTTAGGTTTAAGAAGCCAAGAGAACATTTTGCTATTTAATAAATGAAAAACCAAATCAAATATAGATTAGCAGAAACAAACGTATTGGTATCTTTAAGTGAGGCTGATTAGAAAAAGAAGCAAAGTATGAATAAGCTATTTAAAAACTTAAAATCTCTTGCCATAAGAGAGATTTGAGGATGATGCATTTAGATAGCCTTGGGAAATTAAATATGCATCCAAAAGTTCGGCTAACCCGAAAATTTTCTGATATGGCCTATAATTTTCAAAAGAATATGGATCTTTATTTAGTATGTTTCTGGAACATACATACCTGTTCAGGTTGTCTCTTGAAATTTCAGTTATCATAGCAATATAAATGTGATTAAATATAGCCAGCTAAAATGCAAATGACTGCATGTATCTGTAAAGCACATATTTATATTTTCATGCTTAAGGGAAAATGTTGGGATCCGCCCCCCCCCAACAGTGTTATCTGATGAAGGTACTAATTCCTGGCATATTTGTCTCTGAATATAGCTATTAAATGATGACAGAGCCAAAATTCTCATTTCCTGTAAGCTTTCCAAATCGCCACTGTCTCTGATGTTGTGGAAGGGTTGGAAATGTAAGTAGCACATAGGCAAGGACCCTCCTCACCCCCTAACTGTCTGGTGCATCATAGTAATGTAGGAGTGCTGCCAATGTCTACTTACTCTACATTCAGATTTGCAGAAGCACACCTGAAGTTATTCCTGAATGCTCACAAAATAATACACAAAGCTGTACATTGCCAAGCTACCTGGGTAAAAGGAATATTAAGCAATATAAGGCTCTTTTCTTTATTAGATGCCAGTAAAATAAGTTTTTTAAAACAAGTAGAAAAAGAAATGGCAAGAAACAAAAGCACAGATTTCCCAACATCCAAATAATGAGTTGATAGTGAGCCAGACAAATTTTTCATAAGTGTCCTGATGTTTTGCTGGAAAGTAGTTTTGTGCTCAGTATTCTAAATTACAGGAAATATTTAACTTAATATATGGACATATATGATGCTGTAACCTTATTCTATACTACAAATTACCTAAACAGTATTCATTTAAAATCTTCTCTTCATTCATCACTATAACAGAAGTTTTAAATATTTGTTTTTTCTTTGTGTCATCTAATTTTATTATAAAGTCTAGACATACTCTTAGATGATAGCTTAGAATTGTACATTTATTTCAAAGTGCTTACAAAATCAAAAAGATGTGGTTTTTTAATACAAGTTTCAAACTTAATAAAATACCCATGGCTGCATTTTAAAGTTTAAAAGAAAAGAAAAAATGCTAACGTGAAAGAAGTCTTGGATTTTTACTCACTAGATTTAATTACCAGATGTTCACAAATTTATTCCTATTAATTTCCCAGAAAACTGCTACAAATTCGAGAAAACATATCATCTGTGAATTTGTCAAAAGTACAAAAGAAAAGCACATTTCTGACAAATTGTATTCATTTAGTTTGTCCAGTTTAGTAATGCCGTAAGAGTACAAGTGAACTTGATTTGTATATTTTCCTTAGAGAAAGAATTATAAATTGATGTTTGTCATTTTTTAAACTGCACAGACTTTGAACTTCATTAATAAATTCTACTTTCTTCCAGGGTGAATACCTTTTCTGGAAATAAATATATTATTTGACACTTTTAAATTACTTTTTGTTTCTGAATGCATGCTTAAATAGATCAAATGATCACAGTCCTTGAAATTACTTTAAAGTGGACCAAATTAAGATTCCAACAGTATTTATTTCCCCTTGATATAATTTAAAAGGTGTAAACTGCCACTCAAAATAGAAGTGCAATATCTGACATTGAACCATTTGGCAGTTTTTTAGGCGGAGGTGAATTAACTGCACTGTTATTTGAACTGAAGCATCTCATATATGTTAACAGATTTTGTATGATACAAAACTTTACAGCAAGCTATTTGAATGTTTATTAAAAAATTCTCAAAATGACATGGAAACATGTTTACTGTATAAATAAAAGCACTTAGATGTTAAGAGTGTACATTATTCAATATTTTACTCTTTACAAGAAAATTGGGTGTGAGTTAACCAGTACAAACTACCATACGATATTCATATTCCAGTCCTTGTTCATCATAAGACTATTTAATTTTTACTTTAGTAATGGATGTCTGTTTACATCAATTATCTTTAAAGCATCAAAAAGTGAGCTGCATTTCGGTATAAAAACTCCATCTAAAATATCCTCTATGCCTAACGTTTTATAAGATTATCTAGTTAACGGACAGTGCAAAAGAACTGTCTGACAAGTTGGATTGGCATGGAAAATTAGTTCTGCTAGAGAAAGGAGTTCTGTGGTCAAAAATTTTTGGAACAAACTATGTCAAACAGAAGTAAACAGGATTTTCTGTACCTTAGGCTTTATCAAGCTGCCTGAAAAGGGTGAGAATTTCCCAAGTATGTTTGGTCACTGAAATGGCTTCACAGACTGACCATGACCAAAATTTACAGAAACACCTTTGGAAAAGGACGAGTTAGAGAATCATATGAAGAGTTCTAATACAAAGTGTCATTTGGCAGAAACTTAAATGAATAATATCATATATCATTTTTAAAGTTTTTAGCCTCAACCATTAGCCTACAAGTAAGAAAAATTATAACTGACGTCAGAACAGTACCGCAATGCAATTACCTATAAGCTGGATGTTAAGATACCAGGCTGCTGAGTCATATCATCCTCATTCAACATGAATGATGTAAGAGTGTGTTTACATTAGTTTCTTCTACAACACTTCTAATTAGAATACTGTATTTTATTTTATACCTCAGTTAACATCCTCTCACATTATCAAATATATGTTCATGGAAAAAAAATTAGCAGCCAGAGGACAAAAGTATATGGATTATTTATTCACACGTTTATACTGCTGACCAAATGAATCTGACAGCTAATTATATAAAAATATAACGTCAAAATGACTACCCAATACTTCCTTTCCAGGACTGTTGAAAGTAAAAGTGGATTTAAAATTCTGTAAGTTTACGAAACTTTTCTTTTTTTCAAGATGCTACCATTCATCCTCCATCCTTTAAGAAATCTGGAATTTTCTAAAAAGAATAATTAATTTGGTCACCAGTCATACTAAAATTACATCAATTTGTACTCACATTTGAAGCTGGAAGACATTCAGTTAAGGTGTAAGAAAAACACATGGTGTTTCAAATCTTCATTAAGAAAGACTTAAGAGGGGCGCCTGGGTGGCGCAGTCGGTTAAGCATCCGACTTCAGCCAGGTCACGATCTCGCGGTCCGTGAGTTCGAGCCCCGCGTCGGGCTCTGGGCTGATGGCTCAGAGCCTGGAGCCTGTTTCCGATTCTGTGTCTCCCTCTCTCTCTGCCCCTCCCCCGTTCATGCTCTGTCTCTCTCTGTCCCAAAAATAAACGCTGAAAAAAAAAATTTAAAAAAAAAAAAAAAAAAAAAAAAAAAAAAAAAAAAAAAAAAAAAAGAAAGACTTAAGAGTGTTTGCAAGGAAAGGGGCAGGATTAACTACAACAGCTCATATCAGGGGTCTGAAATGCTAAGGATGTGATGACCACTTTGCAATTTCCACAGTGATGCCACTCTGAAACAGGGTGTGGTGCCTGCTGTGGTCAGTACCCCCCACATTACACACCTGCATTCAACGACTTGCCAGTTTAGTAATGCCAAAACCTGCGGCTAATGTTGTCAAGAAAGGTGAACCTAGTTTCTGACTATCTAAACAAATTGGTAGATTACTTGATTTTTTTAACTTCGTAAACAGTTGGCATTATATATGAAACAATTTAGTTTAATAGAATACACTGAAATGTTGACATCTCATTAAAAATATGTGTCACTTCCAGAAAGTCTAGATTTAAAAGGAAGATGCCATTTTAGGCCCTCTAGGTCATCACTAATGAAAAAAAAAAAATGCAGAGAGAAAACGTATGTTCTGTTAAGAACTTTTTTTCCCACAGAAGATAATAAAGCATATTGAAGAAAAATATACACTGAAAAAAATAAAGGAAAAAATGCTTCCTATAGCCTTATTTCTCTATATATTAATTTGCAGTCTACTTAAGGTGACGTAAAACGAAATTTTAGGAACTACAATTTTCTTCTTCATAGGCAAAGACCAGTGAGTTTCTCTTCTTAAATTATGCAATCAAGGAATAAAGAAACCCTTCTACAAATATGGCACAAAATCCAGACTTCTAGTTCACCTTCAAAACCAACAACGAGGAAAAAAAATTCAATGTATAATTTGTAACCTTCAGGTAAGTATACATTAGCTTTATGTAGGCTTTCACATTTGGCTTCTTATATTATCTATCTTGTAAATACATTCTTCTGGATTTACAATGTTAAAAATTAAGGCTAAAAGGTATTTACATCAATTCATCATATACCAATGTTTTATGATACTAAGATATGTTAAGTGAACAGCTTTCCTAAAAGCACTACTATTCCAAATACAAAAACACTTCTGGTATTGCTTTAAATTATGCACTAAAGTAAAAACACATAGAAATAGGACAGACTTATAACAAGGTAGAAACATGGAAAAGCCAAAAAAGCATTAAATTCAAAGTCCAGTTCATGTCTTCCAAGTAAAAAAAATTCACAGTATTTCTTCAGCTTCCAAATTCTAGACATTCAAATTGCCATAGTACCCTGCAAAAACTAACACATAAGTAAAATCATCAGCTGGTAACAACAAAAGGCTTTTTGCTTTTGATTAATTACACTCCATGAAAACATTTTCACAAGAGGGGAAATTTTTAAAGTTTCCAAGGTTTGTAATTTAAACCAGGATGTACTGCAGGGAAGTGTTGACTCCCTAACTTCCTCACAATAAGAACAAAACAAAAACCCTGAAACATTGAAGTACATGTGAAATATAATTAGTTTCAATTAAAAAAAAAAAACAAAACACTGGAATCAGGTTAATTGCAACCATTTGAAATGAGAAATGAACAGCTTCATAATTTATCATCATAGTTGAAAATTTCCTCTTGAAGATTACCAAAAAATAAACTACTCTTTATAAAAATGGTAGCTTTGCCCTTAAAAATGATTTGAAAGGTAAACTGCCAAAAACATGTCATAAAATTTAGAAGTACCTTTATAATATAATGTCAACTTGATATTTATACAAGTATTTAACCTTTTATTTGCATTTAGCTGATAAATTCAGAAAAGGAATATGGTCTATAAAATATATTATTCCCATTATTGGTACCAGAGACCTCTTAATTTTTTTTTAACAATTATGAACACATCTAGGGAACAGTGTAAATACCAGAATACTTACATCATCATATACAAAATTCACAACCCCTTGTTGCAAGTGGTCTCTTCTCCTAAAGAAATCTTTAAACAAACAAAAATTTATTACAATTTTAAATATATACTTGTAAATGCTTAGTGCCCCTAGGTTCTAAAAAATGACTAATTTCATTTTCAATTTTTTAAAAAAAGGATTTTTTAGGGGTGCCTGGGTGGCTCAGTCGGTTAAGCATCTGACTCTGGCTCAGGTCAAGATCTTGAGGTTTGTGAGTTTGAGCCCCGTGTCAGGCTCTGTGCTGATAATGCAGAGCCTACTTGGGATTCTCTCTCCCTCTCTCTCTCTGTCCCTCCCCTGCTCCTGTGCTCTCTCTCTCTCTCAAAATAATTAATAAAAATGAAAATAAATGTTTTTAAGGTTTTTTTAAAGTTGTTCTTTAAATTCCAGCTAGTTAACATACAGTGGAGTATTAGTTTCAGGTGTACAATATTGTAATTCAACACTTCCACACATTATCAGGTGCTCATCACAAGTGCACTCCTTAATCCCCATCACCTATTTAACCCATCCCCCCAAACACCTCCCCTCTGTTGACCATCAGTTTGTTCTCTCTATAGCTAAAACTCTGTTCCTTGGTTTGCCTCTTTTTTCCCTTTGCACATTTCTTAAATTCCACATGTGAGTGAAATCATATGGTATACGTCTTTCTCTAATGGACTTATTTCACTTAGCTTGAACCTCTCTAGCTCCATCCGTGTCACAAGTGGCAAGATTTCATTCCTTTTGATGGCTGAGTAATATTCCATTGTGTATACATACCACATCTTCTTTATCCATTCATCAATAGATGGATACTTGGGCTTTTCATAATTTGGCTACTATAGATAATACTGTTATAAATATCTGGGTGTATGTATCCCATTGAATCAGGATTTTTGTATTCTTTGGGTAAATACCTAATAGTGCAATTACTGGATTGTATGATAGTTCCATTTTTAACTTTTTGAGGAACCTTCATACTGTTTTCCAGAGTAGCTGCACCAGTTTGCATTCCTACCAACAGTGCAAGAGGATTCCCCTTTCTCCACAGCCTCACCAACACCTGTTGTTTTTTGTGTTGATTTTAGCCATTCTGTTAGGGGTGGGGAACTCATTGTAGTTGTGATTTGTATTTCCCTGGTGAATAGTGATGTTGAGCATCTTTTCATGTGTCTGTTGGCCATCTGGATGTCTTCTTTGCAAAAAAAGTCTATTCATGTCTTCTGCCCATTTTTTAATTGGATTATGTGTTTTTTGGATGTTGAATTTTATAATGTTCTTTATATGTTTTGGATACTAACCCTTTATCAGGCATGCCATTTGAAAATATCTTCTCCAGTCCCATAGGTTGCCTTTTAGTTTTGTTGATTGTTTCCTTTGCTGTGCAGAAGTGTTTTATTTTATTTTTTTAAGCTTATTCATTTATTTTGAGAGAGACATAGAGAATGTGAGTGAGGGAGGGGCAGAGAGAGAGGGAGAATCCCAAGCAGGCTCCATGCCACCAGTGCAGAGTCCGATGCAGGGCTCAAACCCATGAAACCATGAGATCATGACATGAACTGAAATCAAGAGTTGAATGCTTTACTGACTGAACCAACCAAGTACCCCATGAGTGTTTTATTGTGATCAAGTGCCAATAGTTTATTTTTGCTTTTGTTTCCCCTGCCTCAGGGGACATATCTAGAAAAAAGTTGCTATGGCCAATTTCAAAGAGGTGACTGCCTGTGTTCTCCTCTGGAATTTTTATGGTTTTAAGGCTCACAGTTTAGGTCTTTAATCTATTTTGAATTTATTTTTGTGTATGGTATAAGAAAGTGGTCCATGTTGCTGTCCAGTTTTCCCAACACTATTTGTTGGAGAGATTGTCTTTTTCCCATTGGATATTCTTTCCTGCTTTGCCAAAGACTAACAGACTACATAATTGTGGGGTCATTTTTTGGGTTTTCTATTCTGTTCCATTGATCTATATGTCTAATTTTGTGCTAGCACCATACTGTTTCAATTACTATAGTTTTGTGATCTAATTTGAGGTCTGGAATTGTGATGCCTCCAGCTTTACTTTTCTTTTTCAAGGTTGCTTTGGCTATTTGGGGTCTTTTGTGGTTCTACAAACATTTGAGGATTAATTTTTCTGGCTCTACGCTTCTTGAGATAGACACGTATTGCTAGATACTTCCCTCTCCGCACTACTTTTGCTTCATCCCAAAGATTCTGGGCCATTGTGTTTTCATTTTAATTTGTGTCCACGTATTTTTTTTTAATTTCCTGGATGACCTATTCATTGTTTAGTACAATATTGTTTAATGTCTGTATATTTATGATCTCTCCAAGTTGTTTTTCTTGTAGTTGACTTCTAGTATCATAGTGTTGTAGTCAGAAAAGATGCATGGTATGATTTCAATCCTTTTGTATAACTGAGGCCTGATTTGTGACCTAACGTGATCTATTCTGGAGAATGTTTCATATGTACTTGAAAAGAATGTGTTTTATACTGATTTAGGATGGAATGTTCCAAATATATCTGTTAAGTCATCTGGTCCAGAGTGTCATTCAAAGACATTGTTTCCTTGTTTATTTTCTGTTTAGATTAGCTGTCCATTGATGTAAGTCAGGATGTTGAAGTCCCCTACTATCATTGTATTATTATCATTAATTCCTTTATGTTTGTTAATTGTTTTATATATTTAACTGCTCTCATGTTGGGTACATAAATATTTGCAAATTGGTAGATAGTCTTGTTGAATTGTCCCCTTTATTACGATGTAAGTACCCTTCTATATATCTTATTACAGTCTTTGTTTCAAATTCTATTTGTTTTATATAAGCATTGCAACTCTGGCATTCTTTTGACATCCATTTGCTTGATAAATTTTTCTCCATCCCCTCACTTTCAATCTGCAGGTGTCTTTAGGTCTAAAACAAGTCTCTTATACGCAATGTATAGATGAGTCTTGTTTTTTAATCCATTTGGACAACCTATGTCTTTTGATTGTGGAGTGTTAAGTCCATTTACATTCAAAATAGTCCTTGAGAAATGTATTTAGTGCCATTTTATTACTTGTTTTGTCATTGTTTCTGGAGATTTTTCTCTCATCCTTTCTTGTCTTTAGACAAGACCATCACTTTTGGTCTCTCTGTTGCACTCAGTCTCCTTTAATATTCTTGCAGAGCTGGTTTAGTGGTCACTAATTCCTTTCGTTTTTGCTTGTCTAGAAAACTCAACTATTCTGAATGATGGACTTGCTGGATAAAGTATTCTTGGCTGCAGATTTTTCCCACTCAGCACTTTTTTTTTTTTTCAGTTTATTTTTAATGTTTATGTTTGAGAGACAGAGTGTGAGCGGGTGAGGGGCAGAGAGAGAGGGAGACACAGAATCCGAAGCAGGCTCCAGGCTCCAAGCTGTCAGCCCAGAGCCTGACGTGGGGCTTGAATTCACGAACTGTGAGAGCATGACCTGAGTGAAGTTGGACACTTAACTAGCTGAGCCACCCAGGCGCCCCTCCCACTCAGCACTTTAAATACAGCATGCCACTTCTTTCTGGCTTGCCAAGTTTCTGTTGAGAAATCTCCAGCTAGCCTTATGGGTTGTCCCTTATAAGTTAAGGACTTCTTTTGCCTTGCTGCTTTTAAGATTTTTTATCACTATATTTTGCAAATTTAATTATAGTATGTCTTGGTGTTGGCTTGCTTTGGTTGATTTTGATGGGAGTTCTCTGTACCTCCTAGATCTGGATGTCTCCTTCCTCAGATTAGGGAAGTTTTCAGCCCTTATTTGTTCAAATAAATTCTCTGCCCTCTTTTCTCTCTCTTCTTCTTCTGGGACTCCTATAATATGAACGTTATTATATCTGATGAAGCCACTGTGTTCCCTGAGTCTATTCTCCCGTTCCATAACTCTTCTTTGTCTCTTTTGTTCATCTTCATTATTTTCCATTTTGTTTTCAATATAGCTAATTCATTCCTCTGCTTCTTCCAGCCTGCTGTTCATTGTATCAAGCCTATTTCCAATCTCATTTATTGCATTTTTCATCTCTGATTCTTTTTTTAACTCTTTTTCCTCTGTGACAAGGGTCACCCTGATGTCTTATATTCTTTTCTCAACCCCAGTGAGTAACCTTATGATTGTTGCTTTACACTTTCCATCAGGCATGTTACTTACATTTGTTTTGCTTAGATCTCTGGCTGTGGCCTTATCTTGTTTTTTCATTTGGGATAAATTCCTCCATCTTGGCATTTTGTCTAAGTCTCGGTCTTCTTCTGTGTTAGAAAGGCCAGTTAATTCTCCTGCTCCTGAGAGTAATAGCTTTATGAAGAAGAGGTCATGTAGTATCCAGGGCCTGGTGCTTCAAGGAGTATCTTTGACGTTTGCTGTGTGAGTTCTGCTCTTATGTTTTGGCTGCTCTATCCTTCTGGCCAGTCATCTGTAGAGGTTCTACTTACCTGCTGTGGGCAGTGTTTGGTCGCTGGCCAGAACATGTCAAGTTTTAACTAGGTGTGCTCTAGTCTGCTTGTTTAATGAGTCCTGATACCACCTGCACCAGAACTGAGGCTGTATAGAACTCTTCTGTCAGATGTGGTGGAGGCAGGGGCTTGTGCTGGTCTTCTGGGGAAGGAGCCTGCCATTCTGAGACTAAGCCATGCTTGACTGAGAAGAGAGTCCTGCTAGAGCACAGGTTTGGTATAAGGAAACCACCCCACAGGTTTGGTATAAGGAAATCAGGCAGCCTGTGTACGTGCTATGCCACTTCCCACATGCAGCTATGTGCTTATGCTTAAGGGTGGGGGAGGGAAATGACACCAGCTGGCTCCTTTGTTCCTGGAGAGGTGTCTCTGTGAATGCTGCCTCTCAGGGATGTGCAAGAAGAGTGAATATTCTCCCCACTGTGAACCCCAAGCATTCTTCAAATCACTGTTTCCATGCTGTCTGCCCCTAGGTTGTGTGCCTGCCTTCTCTCCAGGAGCAGTGCAGTACCCTCTGGACTCTATCCTAGTCAAGTCTGTTGACCTTCAAAAGTCTAAGCTTCAAGCCCTGCTAGTTGCAAGAACTCGTGAAATTCAACCTCTCTCATTTTCCAAGCCAATGCTTTGGGGAAACATTCTCCTTATGCATTCCCATTTGTTCCTCTCTCTCTCACCCTTCTCCATGACTACAGCTTCCTCCTCCCTACACCACCATGATCCATTTCTCCCCTCAACCATGTCTGCACTCATCCTACCTTCTTTGATGTGGCCTCTTCTCTCCCTTTAGTTGTGGGGTTTGTTCTGTCCATCTTCAGGTTGATTTCTGGGGTACTTAGAATAATTTGATAGCTATCTAGATGTGTTCATGGGACAAGATGAGCTTAGGGTCCTTCTACTCCACTGCCATCTTCCCTCTTTCTCTTCATACTCAATTAAATCAAGTGATTTCATATCCCAGGCAACTGAGACATGAAAACTTTCCAAAACTGAGCTACAACAATCTTTCAGTATTCATATTGCTCAAGTTTTTTTAAATTTTTTTTCACAATATTGCTAAAGTTTTAAAGCCTTAACACTGATTGAATTTAACAGTGAATAATGGTGAAAAATACATAATATTACAAACTTGTCGAAGAAGACGAGATATTTTTCAGAGAAATAGCTACGGGGCACCTGGGTGGCTCAGCGAGTTAAGTGTCTGACCCTTGGTTTCTGCTCAGGTTATGATCTCATGGTTTCATGAGTTCAAGTCTCATATCAGTCTGTGCTGATAGTGCAGAGCCAGCTTAGGAGTCTGTCACCCTCTGTCTGCCCCTCTCCTACTGTCTCTTTCAAAATAAATAAACTTAAAAAAATCAGTAATTTCAAAAAAGAAAAAGAAAAATAGCTACATAACGCTATACCCATTTTTAAATGATGAATACCTGTCAGTGCTCGAAGCTTCACACAGCAAGCCACATAATCATCAAAGAAGATTCTGCCATTCTTGCTGTACCGTTTAACAATAGCAGTTAATGTTTGAGGGCTCAACCTATAACCTAGAAATAAGAATTAACAGATTAAAACTTCTAAAACCAAACACCATAAGAACATCACAGCATTGCATTTTCTTTAAAAACAATCAAAAAAATAAAATTCCAATATTCATTCCATAAAAATATATACTAAAAATAAAACACATTCATATTGAAACTTACCAAAGGCTTTACTACTAATGGTTAAGTGGTACATAAATATCTAAATTCTAGCTCTGTAATGAAGTCATAGCTAAGAAAAAACAAAATTATGTTTTTGTATTTTTAGAATATATTTTTATTTTTAAATAATGTCTAGAATATTTTATATATTTTAATGCTCCAATATTTCAATTCTGTAATTTCATAGTTCTTTAAAGAATATCAAGGAAAGATTATTAGTGATTTTTGCTATCGCTTAAATTCTTTATTTCCTTTTTGCCTTTTTTTTCATTGAGGTATAATTGGCGTATATAATTATATTAGTTTCAGATGTACAATATAATGATTCCATAGTTGCATATATTACAAAATGATCACTATAATAAGTCTAGTTAATACCTGTCACCCTATATAGTTACAGAATTTTCTCTTCTTGTTATGAGAACTTTTAAGATCTATTCTTAGCAACTTTCCAATATGTGCATACTTTACTGTGAAGGATGTATTTTACCTAGGTAATTTACCTAGAATTATTGTCTTTATATATTACTATATTAGCAGATTTGGACAATCTACTCAAAGAGGAAGACAATAATAAACGTAGAGAAAATTTTATGTGTAGCTACAATCCAGGGAACTTGCTAAAAATCAATCAATCAATCAATCAATCAATCAATAAATAAATGGAAAGGTATAAATTAATAGAAGTAAAGTATGGAAACTTATGTAATTATATACAAACGTATTTTAAGCTTCCTAGTAGAGAGTTATGATCTGAATGTGTAATGATAAAACTCTTATTATTTCCCATAGCATTCTCAGCAAAATAATTTGAATATTTTAACATGTATCTGAAGATCTTAAATTTGAATAATCCACAATATCTCTCAATGGCACTCAAATGCCTATGTGAACTCTGGCAGTTTTCTTTTTTGCCTAAGGTTATAGTACCTTTTCTACATTATGTTGAATTAAGGATCAAGTTTAAATCATTAGGTATTAATGCTTTAACTGAACTATATATGACGTGTCCAGGACTGTCTCTAAAATGACCATCTATTAAGTTAAAATGTCTAATTATAAAACAAAACAAATCACTAGCTTTAGCTTCTTTAAATTGGAATTTGAGATAATTTGCATTGGGTTCAGATTTTAAATTTCAAAAGGTTCATTTTCTTACAACTGTATTTTGTTTACAAATGAGGGTAAAAAAAAATCAAAGGGTAAACACAATTAGGAATACTACATGAACTGTAAAAGCAGGTTAAACACCATTTTATATTACCACTTTTGAAAGAAAGCAGACTGAGAACCTCAGCTTAGCAAAGATAGGATAAAAATAAAGTTACATTCTTTTAAAATACTCTAAAATGCAGACTTTGCATTCTGAGGTATTTTGGCATATACTGTGTATACTAACCACATAAGAAAACGAAGGAAAATTTAGAAAACATGGTTTTTATTGTTGAAAAGCTAGAGTATAATATGGAAACCAGTAATATATTGAGATAAGCCTTTGCTATCAAATTAGAGCTCTTACCACAAATGAACACTATTCTATACTCAGGGGTTGGAAAAAACCAATATTGTTGAAATGTCCATATTACTCAAAGCAATATACAGATTCAATGCAACCCCTATAAAATATCAATGGCATTTTATCACAGAACTAGAACAAATTATACTAAAATTCGTATGGAACTAAAAAGACCCCAAATAAAAAAAAAAAATTTTTTTTTCAAAAAAAAAAAAAAGGGGGCGCCTGGGTGGCGCAGTCGGTTAAGCGTCCGACTTCAGCCAGGTCACGATCTCGCGGTCCGTGAGTTCGAGCCCCGCGTCAGGCTCTGGGCTGATGGCTCAGAGCCTGGAGCCTGTTTCCGATTCTGTGTCTCCCTCTCTCTCTGCCCCTCCCCCATTCATGCTCTGTCTCTCTCTGTCCCAAAAATAAATAAATGTTGAAAAAAAAATTTTTTTTAAAAAAGACCCCAAATAGCCAAAGTAATCCTGAGAAAGAAGAACAAAGTGGGAGGTATCACAATTTCAGATTTCAAGATATACTATAGAACTGCAGTAATCAAAACAGTGTGGTACTGGCACAAAAATAGATAAATAGATGAAAAGACCAGAATAGAGAGCTCAGAAATAAACCCATGCTTATATGGTCAATTAATCTATGACAAAGGAGGCAAGAACATACAATGGGAAAAAGTCTCTTCAGCAAATGGTGTAGGAAAATGGTACAGCCACATGCAAAAGAATGAAACTGGACTATTTTCTTACATCATGCACAAACTCAAAAAGGATTAAAGAACTAAATATGAGACCTGAAACCACAAAACTCCTAGAGGAAAACATAGGCAGTAATTTAACATTGGCTGAAGCAACATTTTTCTAGATAGGTCTCCTGAGGCAAGGAAAACAAAAGCAAAAATAAACTATTGGGACTACACCAAAATAAAAAGCTTTTGCACAGTAAAGGAAACCATTAACAAAATGAAAAGGCAACCTACTGAATGGGAGAAGATATTTGCAAATGACATATCCTGTAAGTGGTTAATATCCAAATATATAGAACTTAGACAACTCAACACTAAAAAACCCCAAATAATCCAATGAAATATATGCAGAAGACCCAAACAGACATTTTTCCAAAGAAGATAAACATATGGCCAACAGACACACAAAAAAATGTTCAACATTCCTAATCATCAGGGAAATGCAAATCAAAACCACAATGAAAGATCCCATTACATCTGTCAGAATGGCTAGAATAAAAAATACAAGGAATAACAAGTATTGGTGAAAATGTAGAGAAAAAGAAACCTTTCTGCATTGTTGTTAGGAATGTAAATGGTACAGCCATTGTGAAAAACAGTATGGAGGACCCTCAAAAAGTCAGAAATAGAGGGGAGCACCTGGGTGGCTAGGATGGTCAAGCTTCAGACTCTTAATTTTGGCTCAGGTCATAACCTCACAGTTCGTAGGTTCGAGCCCCACATGTGGCTTACCAATGGGGAAGTCTGCTTGGAATTCTCTCTCTCTCTCCCTCTCTCTCTGCCCCTCCCTGCTTTTTCTTTCTCTCAAAATAAATAAATAAAGTAAAAATTAAAAATAGAAATACCATATAATCCAGTAATTCCAATACTGGAATATTTCCAAAGAAAAGGAAGGCACTAATTCAAAAAGATATGTGCAGCCCTGTATTTACTGCAGCGTTATTTACAATAGCCAAATTATGGAAGCAACCAAAGTGTCCATCAACCAATAAATGGATAAAAAAGATGTGGTACATATATACAATGAAATATTACTCAGCCATATAAAAGAATGAGATCTTGCCACTTGCGACAAATGGATGGACCTAGAGGGTATTATGGTAAGCGAAATAAGTCAGAGAAAGTCAAATACCATATGGTTTCAAAAATATATGGAATTTAAAAAACAAAACAAAGAAAAAAGGAACAAACAAAAAAGGCCCTTAAGTATAGAGAACAAACTGGTGGTTACCAGAGGGGAGATAAGTGGTACAAACTTCCAGTTACGAAATAATTAAGTCACCCCAGGGGCGTCTGGGTCGCTCAGTCAGTTAAGCATCCAACTTTGGCTCAGATCGTGATATCGCCGGTTATGAGTTCGAGCACCGCATCAGGCTCTGTGCTGACAGCTCAGAGCCTAGAGCCTTCTTCAGATTCTGTGTCTCCCTCTCTCTCTGCCCCTCCCCTGCTTGTGCTCTGTCTCTTTCTCACAAATAAACAAACATTTAAAAAAAATAAAAAGGGGTTCCTGGGTGGCTCAGTCGGTTAAGCATCCAACTTCAGCTCAGGTCATGATCTCACAGTTCACAAGTTTGAGCCCCATGCTGGGCTCTGTGCTGACAGCTCAGAACCTGGAGCCTGCTTTGGATTCTGTATCTCCTTCTCTCTCTGCCCCACCCTTGCTTACTCTTCCTCTCTTTTTCTCTCTCAAAAATAAATAAACATTAAAAAAAATTTTAAACAAAATAATTAAGTCACCCTGAAAAATACAGCATAGGGAATAGAGTCAATAAGATCATAATATATGTTGTATGGTTACAGACGGTGAATATACTTGTGATAAGCACTGAGTAATGTATAGAACTGTTGAACACCTATACGGATACGAATAGAAATGCTGTATTCTTGAAATTAATATAACACTGCATATTAATACTTCCAAAAATCTGGCAAAAATAAAATAAATAATTAGACACCTCAGCAAATTAAAAAAGAATATACTATAAATGGTGGTTACCCACAATTAGAGGAATGCATTTTAATATACTCAACAGAGGAAATTCAGAAATTAATTTTATCAACCACAATGTATAAAAAAGATCATCTTTAAAAAAAAATAGATAAAATGGTTTTGTTAAAAGTCTTCAGTCAGAATTCATCTACAATCTTCAAATCAAACTGGGCAACAGCTGGTGAAATAATAGATTCCTTTGTCACTTAACAAATTAAAACAGTTAAGATTCATTTCATCAAAGAACAATTATCTGGATAGATTCTAAAGAATTTTAACATTCTTACCCATAGCAGCGATGGCTTGATTCAATTCATGATGTTCCACTGTGCCACTTTGGTCTTGATCAATAGTCATGAAGTTTTGCTTCCAGGCATTAAGAGCTGCCCAAAGTTCTTTGAATTCACTAAACCTCATTTTTCCTGTGTAATCTCTCTGATAGTTTTATTAATAAAAATAAATTTTGATACCAATGAGAATTTACTTGACCCAAAGCTGTAAATCATTGACTAAAAAACTATTAGTATGCTTCTGCAAGTTAGCTAAATTCAGCATATGAATAGATTTCTACTTCAAAATGGAAGAGCATGGAATTCAAACAGAATCTTACAAAGTATTTTTAAAGTCTCTAATTTACTGTAGTCATATACAGCCAACAATTGCTTAGTTATATTCAGAAAACAATTATTCCATATTCTAGTATTTTCTATTTTTACTCAAGGATACATCCAACATGGCGATCATAATTCTGCAGGTTTCCAAACTGAAGGCTGTAAAACATATTTATTATTTGAATTGGAGTCTGCCCAATTTTATCTATGTAAAATTATGACAATTACTATTTTATAAAACAAAATGTTTAAAAATTGCCAAAAATACACAGTCACCCCATCAACAAACTTTGAATGCTTATGCATCCATAGTAAAAAAAAAAAAAAAAAAAAAAAAAGGACTAAAATAAAAATTACTACTACTCCAAACTATTCACATCTAGTAAGGGGATTTGGTAGTTATATAAGCAATTATAAAATAACTGAAAATTATTGTCACAGGGGAAAGGAGGGCTTTGATCTTCCCAACACAAACGACGAGCAGGTTTTTAAATAGAAATCTGACATATACGGAGTACACAAAACACGAAAGATGTAGAGATGTGATTAAAGTTTGAGATGAAGGACTGGCTTGTGATGACATCTAAAGGGAGAAGAGGGTCAGATCATGAAAGTCTTGAATGCCACCCTAAAGATTTAGACCAAGGGAAGTCACTGAAGAATTTTACAGAGCAGAGGGGCAATTCTAAAATTTCCATTACAGAAATACTCATTTACATTAAACAGACTGCAGAGTAAAGTAAGATGAACCCGGATGTAGGTAAATCATTTGCTAGTTTACTGCAATCAATCAAGTAAAAATGTGAACTTCTGATCTGAAGCAGCTGTTTTCCCTTGGGCAAGGGAAAAGGCAGGAAGAAAAAATATAAACTATCTTAATATCATGGGTTATTAGAAATATTAACATTTTCATATTTATAGAACTATAACTGAAGACTCACAATAAGTAGAATTTTTCTAATCCTTATCACAATTATATTGAATTAGTATGCTGATTTACCTCATGACTTATTATATCAGTCTTGAGAAAAGAAATATTACATCAGTACAGTTTAGGTAGCTTACCAAGTTCTTACTCTTTGCTCCTTAAAATGAATAAATGAATAAATAAAAATGCTTAAAACTATCTTATTTTGTTATTTGATGTTAGCATATTTTGAAATTTTTATGAGAAAAAATATTTCAGCTAAATTTTAGACCTATTAAGAAAAAAAATCATAAAACATTCTACAAGTTAAAATAGCTGATTTTCTTTAAATGTTTTTTTTTTTTTAAATTTTTTTTTCAACGTTTATTTATTTTTGGGTCAGAGAGAGACAGAGCATGAACGGGCGAGGGGCAGAGAGAGAGGGAGACACAGAATCGGAGACAGGCTCCAGGCTCTGAGCCATCAGCCCAGAGCCCGACGCGGGGCTCGAACTCACGGACCATGAGATCGTGACCTGGCTGAAGTCGGACGCTTAACCGACTGCGCCACCCAGGCGCCCCTTTAAATGTTTATTTAATATAGTGTCAATGTTAGAATAGGTGGTTATAATATTTTCAGATGGATAATTCAACAGACACTCGATGAGTATTCACTATGAACCAGGTAGCAAGATTTTGTGATTTTACATAAACATACAAAGGTATTATAGTCCCAATTTACAAATGAAGAAACAGAGGCCCAGAATAATAAAGTTTCCCAAGTCATAAAGCCAGTAAGTGGAAAAGTCAATACAGGAGCCCAGTCCTCCTTCAAATCCTGTTCAGGTGGGAAGAAGCAGGGTGGCAAAGTTTCCATGAACAATCCCTGGATGGCATTCCATCATTTTGTCAGGCAAATGGTATGTTTTGCTTTCAAGTTAACATGGCACCCATCCGTTATGTGGGAGAATCTCAACAGATGATAACAAATGGCAAGAACTGAGTCTTCATATAAGCATACCTTCAATCATAAAATAAGATTGAATGTATATGTACAGAAGATTAAATATTTTTGACAAAGAATAGAGAAGAATTTTTAGGAAAGTTCATATATTTTTAATACCCCATTGTAATGGGAAAAAATTAAATTTCTAAAGTCATAAACCATTAGAAATAGGAGAATAAGAGAACATAAAGGAAAAGAATTGTAAAATAGTAAGATGAATGGAAGTTAACTGACGTAGATAGGAGAAAGTGACCATGAACATGCAATAAGAAAAGCTGAAAAGTAGCCTAGTTATCCAGGGGAAGACCCCAAACATGTTTAAGAACTGGTAGTATTTCTAAATATGGGTGTGCAGGTAGAGATAAAAACAGAATAACCAATTGAATATCTGTTTAAAAAGTATCTACAGGGGCGCCTGGGTGGTGCAGTCGGTTAAGCGTCCGACTTCAGCCAGGTCACGATCTCGCGGTCCGTGAGTTCGAGCCCTGCGTCGGGCTCTGGGCTGATGGCTCAGAGCCTGGAGCCTGTTTCCGATTCTGTGTCTCCCTCTCTCTCTGCCCCTCGCCCGTTCATGCTCTGTCTCTCTCTGTCCCAAAAAAGTAAATAAACGTTGGGAAAGAAAAAAAAAAGTATCTACAGCCCCCAAATCCCTCCTTGCCTTAGCTCTGTAGATGGATACTATGTCTATTCTCACATCAGCAGAAGTCTGGCAATTTGCTGTCTGGAGAGTTCTTCCAATTTCAGGGTATCAGGCACATATATGAAGCCCTAACTACTAACCAATGACCAGTAACCCTTAACCTCTAGCACTGATACTAACATTGACTCTAACATTAACCCTAACACTAACCCTCTAGAGAGGTCTCTGCACAACAGGATAACAGTTATATACCCTAACAATAATCCTAACACTAACCGCTAACCCTTAACCCCTAATACTAACACTAATCCTAATCCTCACTATAACTCTAACCCTAAAAGTAACCTTAGATAGGAGAAAGGGGCTTCCTGAATACATGGTAAGAAAAGCTTTGAGAAGCAGCCTAGTAATCCTGGGGAAGAATCTCAAAATTTAAGAATCTGTAGTATTTCTAAATATGGGTGTGAAGGTAGAGATAAAAACAGAAGGACCAATTGATGATTTATTTAAAGAGGATACAGAGGGGCGCCTGGGTGGCGCAGTTGGTTAAGCGTCCGACTTCAGCCAGGTCACGATCTCGCGGTCCGGGAGTTCGAGCCCCGCGTCAGGCTCTGGGCTGATGGCTCAGAGCCTGGAGCCTGTTTCCGATTCTGTGTCTCCCTCTCTCTCTGCCCCTCCCCCATTCATGCTCTGTCTCTCTCTGTCCCAAAAATAAATAAACGTTGAAAAAAAAAATAAAATAAAGAGGATACAGAGCCCCAAATTTCCTCCTTGCCTCAGCTCCATAGATGGATGTCATGTCTATGCTCACACCAGAAGTTGGGGGACTTACCATCCAGAAAGGTTTTTGAAGTTCAGGATGCCAGGAACATATTCAAAGGCCTCACCACTAACCAATAACCACTAAGCCCTAACCCCCAACCCTGATACTAACATTCACCCTAATATTAACCCTAACACTAATCTTCTGGACAGGTCTCTGAATAGCAGGATACCAGGGACATACCCTAACATTAACCATAATCCTAACTCTAATTTTAACCACTAACCAGTAACCTACAACCCCTAACCCTAACACTAACACTAATCCTGACTCCAACCTTAACCCTAGAGATGAGAAAGGGGCTTTCTAAGCACAGTTTTTCTGATTAAAAAAAAAAAAAAGAAGAAAAAAACAAAAACAAAAGGTGAGCAGCAGTCTAGCTATCCATGAGAAGACCCCAAACATTTAAGAATTGGCAATATTTCTGAAAGTGGATGCAAAGGCAGAAATAAAAACAGAAGGACAAATTGAATATCCATTGAAAGAGTATTTAGAGCACCAAATCCCCTCCTTGCCTCAGCAGTATAGATGGCTACGATGTCTATTCCCACCCAAGCAGAAGTCCAGGGATTTACTGTCCGGAGAGATCTCTCAACAGCAGGATACCAGGCACACACCCAAAGTCTTCAAACCTAACCTCTAACCTGTAACCCTAACCTTAACCCTAAGACTATCCCTAATCCAAACTTTCTGGAAAGGTCACTGAACTCCAGGATACAAGGCAAATACAAGTACAGTAATGCTAAACCTAATGCAAACCCTAACCATAACCCTAGAGCTGAGAAAGTGCCTTTTACATACATGATACAAAAAGTTGAGAAGCAGCCTAGCTCTCTTGGAGAAGATGCCAAACATTTAAGAACTGTGTGTGAAGGTAGAGATGAAAACAGGAAGACCAGGTGAATATCTATCTAAAGAGTATTTAGGGACCCAAATCTCCTCCTTGCTTCAGATTGGTAGATAGCTGCCATGTCTATTATCACCCCAGCAGAAGTCTGTGGATTTATTGTCTGCAGAGGTCTCTGAATTGTAGGATACCAGGCACATTGCCTAAAACTGACCCTGACCCTAAGGCTAACACCCCTAACCTAACGCTACCCAAGATCTGAGAAAGTGGCTTTCTAAACATATAAGAAAAGCTGTGGAGCATCATACTTATCATAAAGAAGACCCCAAACATTTAAAAATTGGTAGTATTTCTGAAAATGAATGTGAAGTTACAGATAAGAAGACAACTGAGAATCATTTAACGAGTATTTACAGCCCCACATCCCATCCATAGCTCAGCTGTATATAAGGCTCACATGTCTCTTCTCACCCAGGCAGAACTCTGGGATCTTATTCTCTGAAGTGGTCTCTTAACTGAAAGATTCAAGGCAAAGACCCAAACCTTTCACACCGAACACACAATCCCTAACCTCTAACCCTAACCTTCACCCTAAGACTGTCCCTAACCCTAAGCCTCTGGAAAGGACTCTGAACTCCAGGATAACAGGCATATGCACTAACATTATCCCTAACCCTAACCCAAACCCTAACTGTAACCTTAGATCAGAGAAAGTGGCGTCTGAACGCATGATAAGAAAAGCGGAGGAGCATCATACTTGTCCTGGGGACAACCTTGAACATTTAAGAATTGGTAATATTTCTGAAAGTGGGTGTGAAGGTAGAGATAAACATGGAGCCAATTAAATATCTACTTAAAGAGCATTTAGAGCCCCCAAATCCCCTCCCTGCCTCAGCTCAGAGGATGGCTGCAATGTCTATTTTTACCTCATCAGAAGTCTTGGTACTTACATTGTGGCGAGGTCTCTGAACTGCAGGATATTCCTCCATACCCAAATCCCTAAACCCTACTTCTGAAGCCCTAATGCTAATCCTCACCTTAATCCTAAACCTCTGGAGAGATCTCTGAACTGCATGACACCAGGAACATAGTAGAACCCTAATCCACAACCCACAACCCTTAACCCCTAACCTCTAACCATACACACTAACTAAAACAAACCCTAACTGCCACCCTCTGGAGATGTCTCTGAACTGCAAAACACCCGGAACATACACTAGCATTAACCGTGACCCTAACCATAACCCTAACCCTAATCTTAACTCCAATGCTAGGCCCTGACCCTTGACGTGAGAAAATGGCTTCAGAACACACAAGAAAAGCTGACAAGCAGCCTACTTATCCTGGAGAAGACCCCACAAACATTTATCAATTCGTAGTATTTCTGAAAATGGGTGTGAAGGTAGAGATAAAAACAGAAGGACCAACTGAATATCTATTTATGGAATATTTAGAGCACCAAATCCCCTCCTTGCCTTAGCTCCTTAAGATGTCAGCAATGTCTATTCTAACCTCAGGAAAATCCTGGGAATTTATACTCTGGAGAGGTCTCTAAATTCCAAGACACTAGGCATACCCAAGCCCCTAAGCTCCATCCCCTAACCCCTAACCCCTAACCTTGAACCTTAACTCTAACCATCTGGAGAGGTCTCTCGACTGTACAATACCAGACACACACCCTAACCCTAACCCTCACCCTAATCTTAACCCTAAATCTGAAAAAGTGGCTTCCTAAACACACGACAAAAAAGCTGAGAAGCAGCCTAGTTATCCTGGGAAAGACCTCAAACACTTAAGAGTTGCTAGTATTTCTGAAAATGGGTGTGAAGGTAGACCTAAAAACAGAAGGACCAACTGAATACCTACTTAAGAAGTATTTAGAGCCCTAAAGCCCGTTCTTGCCTCATCAGTAGATGGCTGCCATGTTGATTCTCACTCCAGGGCAAGTCTGGGGTTTTATTCTCTGGAGAGGTCTCTGAACTGCAGGCACATATCCTAACCCTATCCCTAAACTCTAACACTAACACTAACCTATCTAGCAAAAACAAGGTATTTAAATAACTGTTTATCAAAGACTGAGAACCCTCCTGGGTCCTCTATCCTCTTTTCCTACCAAACAACCAGCCCAAAAGGAAATCCCAAAATACGCTGATTCTCATTGTTGCACGACAAACTGCCCCACCAGGCTACCAGACATTGAAGCCTATAGTGAATACCAAACCAACACCTTGGAGCTTCTCGCCTGCATTTCAGTTAAATATGTACGACAAGGATCAGCACACCTGAGAAAAGCATCTAACATGAAAGACAACCAAACAAATAAACTGGAAAAAAAAACTGGAGAAAACACAGTTTACAAAAGAAGAAAAAACTTTGAAAAATACATTAACAGTTTCAGAGAGATAAGGGAAGACTTCACCTACATGAAAAAAGAAGAGAAGCTCTTGGATTTTAAGAATATGATAGCAGAATTAAAACATTCATAGAAGGGGGGCACCTAGATAGCTCAGTTGGTTGACTATGTGATTCTTGATTTCAGCTCAGATGACGGTCTCAGGGTTGCTGAGATCAGGCCCTGAATCAGGCTCTGCACAGACAGCATGGAGCCTTCTTGAGATTTTCTCTCTCCCTCCCCTGCTCTTGCTCTCTCTCTCTCTCTCTCTCTCAAAATAAATAAATAAACTTTAAAAAAAAGAAAACTAAAATCTATAGTGATAAAAGTATGTTATTTTGAGATCTGGAGGCAAATTTCAAGAGTCACCTGAAAAAGCTGAATGAAATTTCGTCTAGGAGTAGTTAATGTCAGGGAGACAGTTATGTACAAGGAACACAAGGAACAGTTATCTTCACAATAAGCTTTGCAGAATTATTGGATTCTTTAAATTATGGGCATGTATATCTGTGATAAAAAGATTTTGTTTAATATTTTAAATACGGGGGTGGGGGAGATCTCACGAGAGTAAGTTCCACTAATTCCAGACTGTGTCAAACATTTCTGAAGTTCCTCAGCATCCACTTCACCATCCTGTTAAAAAATAATTATAGTCTGATTTAATGCACAGCTGTATAAAATCACATTAAAGTGCTGACTGGCTGTTCTAGGCCAATCAACAGACATGCATTTTTTAAAACATTATTATCAACTACAAAATTAAGACAGACAAGTATTGACAACAAAGGCAAATTACAGAAGAGCATACAAAATAAATAATTTTTCACAAATTATATTCTATTAATTTTTAAGCACTCCAAATACAATCTATTTTCTCTACTCCTGAGAAACAACATAATCACTCTGACCTATAGTAGGTCAAAATAACATCTGTTGAAAGTCATTGGAACTCTAGTTAAAACAGAAAATCGATCAAAATGTGTTCAGAACAGTCTCAGACACATTCCCTTAATGCCCCTTTCATGGGGGGGATTATTTCTAAGGGATACTGAGGTTGTAACCACTCAAGCAGTAATCGGGAGGAGAGAATCCCTTCCCCCCTCCAACATTACCCCCAGTCATCCGGCATCTTGTTGTTATTCTTCTGATTACTGCCCAAACATTCTTGTTTGAACTTATTGTGGGAAATAATTTTTTTTTTAAACACAAACAAGAAATCACAACCAAAGTAAAATAGGTTGAATATTTTCATCATGTTTCAGTACCTCACCCTATTTTCTATAAAAATATACAGAGCAATTTACTTGGAAGCATCACAGACATTGTCATAAGTGCAAAAAAATTAGCTCTGAGGAAGGATCAGGGAGGCAAATTTAAAACACAAACTTTTTAAGCGTTCATTTTTGTAAGAGACCCAAGAAATGAAAAAAAAATGTTTCCAAACTACTTCTAAGAAGTATCATAAACACTCATATCTTAATGGATCTTTAGCAGGGAATTCCTTACAACAAAAATTTCAGTAGAAGAAAAGATTCCAGTAGTTCTAGCAGGAATAAAAAGCATTCTTTCCAATGGATCATCCATGTGCCTACAAAGAGTATCTAAGTGTTCCTTCCTCTGCCACGCATAGTTTTGAGATTTCTCTTATAAATTTTTAAATTCTTTAGTAAGAGAATTGTACTTTATAAAATCACCATTTGTTTAGAACCAAAGCTAGGTTAGAAATTTTTCCTCCAATGATAAAGACCTTAGAAGGAATTTTTATTTAAACAATTGCCTACCTCCCTATTATATCAAATCACTATTATATTTCAAGACTTTGAAAAATTAGGCATACACTTCTAACATGATTGGAGAAGAAATCATCAGTAAACAACACCAAACCAACAAACAAAAACAATCAAGGAAGTCTACAGCTGCCACTGTCAATAGTATCTCCATGAAATGACGGCACAATGCCAGGTCATTGTCAATTATTGCACAGGAAATTTTAAAAGACAATCTTTTACAAATTATTAAATCAGAAGCAAAGGTAGGAAATCACTTTTCTCTCATTTTTTTTTTAAATGTATTCTATCTTCTAGTACGCTTAAGATAACATGGTTATAAATCACCTTTAACTTTCCTTAAGTGGGAAAATGATACTCCACCCGAGACTAACATTAGTGATAATAACTCAGCTTCATCAATTGTTTTCTCATTTATAAGAAATAACGCATTGTGTGAACATTAGGCTCAAACTTAAAACTTTCTAGAAAAGAGAAATTTGCATTTACTAAAAACCTTGACCAATCCAATTAAAATGAGGGAAATCAGTCCCATGTGGTCTGATGATGATTTCTGTTCAACCATGAGCTTCTCTAACATTTCATGGAAAAGCCCACTTACTGTACAGAAGACATTTCTCTGAATTATATACATTCAGAGACACAGAAGGGACCTTGAAGAGTACGGAAATTCTTTTGTAGGGAAAGAACAAAGATTACAGAGGAAGCAAAGTTGAACAGCAGTAGGTTCAAAAGACACACAGGAAAAGTCATTATAAATTCGGGTTAAGGAGTATAAAAATTATGTTAGTCTTTGTTAACCCTTTTTGAAGAGAGTGAAACTAAGAACAGTACAAACACAGCAAATTAGTGTTGATGATTTTAACATTGAAAGAGTTCAGAAGTCAAATAAAAGTCTCTAAATATATATGCCCAGTTCCTATGTTTTAAGTTATAATTTTATAAAATAGATTTTATAGTCAGTTATATATAACAGACTTATTCCCAGCATTACAGTACTTAAGAGTTCTTTGCAGATTGGAATGGTATAATGTAACCGTTAGCATTACAGTTAGCTGCAAACAATAGAAAATACTACCGAAGAGATTTAAACCAATAACGGTTCATTGTTTTGCACAAGAAGTCCAAGGCCAGGCAGAACAGGACTGTAAGGCAGCTTTAAGATGCCATCGATCTCTGCATTTTCCCACGTTTCTCATCCAAAGGACTTTATCTCAAGCTTGTTGACTCAAGGTACCAAGATGACTGCTGCACCTCCCAACTTTGAGTTCCCTTTCTAGGCAAGAAATAAGGAGCAAAAAAGGCCAACACCAGTTCCCAGGAGGGATTTTCTCCCTTAGAAAAGGAAAGTGTCCTAAAGAAACGGCACCTACATCTCAAGGGTCAGTCCTATGGCACGTGGCTACCTTTACTAATCACAAAGGTGTCCGGGATGGCACTGGGGCTTTTCCGACTACCACTACACAAGGGAAAAAGAGGTTGTGAATGGAATTGGGGTCACGAAAACAAAGTGTCTGCCACATATAATAATTCTGTGTGCATCCTCTATTTCCAGCCAAGTATATGGGACCTAGTGAACACTCAAGCGAAAGAATACCGAATGAAAAGTGTTATCAAAGTTCTGTGAAGTTCTAACTACTCAAAAAGTTTTCATCAATAAGTATAAACGAAGAGATACGGACTGTGACTAAGACTCAGTGTGAACCTGCCTCTTCTCATTTGTCTGGTAGTTGAACCTCCTTTCTGCCCTGTTTTCTTTACCTTTTCCCAATTTGCTTTACCTTCAAGTCTCTCCCAAACTATTCACAATTGAAAAGTCTCCTTTTGACGCTCTGCCCCAGCTTCCTCAAGGAGATTTACACGTAGACCTCTTTCCCCCAATCCTCTTTGGCTCAGTCACCATGCAGCATACCACACTGTTTCCTCTTTCAGTGAAATGAACAATGTGTCAGGTATCACACTAACAGAGTTTTAAAAAAATGAAGTAATTATGACTACCCTCATCTCTGATCTCAAGAGAAAAATCGGTCTAGGTAAGTTTAAATACAAATTTCATATACATTTAAAATGACACACTAAGTAACAGAGTTGACATTTCTTTTAAAAAGCAATCACTTCTTAAAACTGATATCTGTGGGGCACGTGGGAGGCTCAGTCAGTTAAGCATCGGATTTCAGCTCAGGTCATGATCTCACCATTCGTGGGTTCGAGCGCTGCGTCGGGCTCTATGCTGACAGCTCAGAGCCTAGAGCCTGCCTTGGATTCTGTGTCTCCCTCTCTCTTTGCCCCTCCCCTGTTCTTTGTCTCTGTCCTTCTCCCTCAAAACTAAACAAACATTAAAAAAAATTTTTTAAAACAAAAGCAAAAACAAAAACCCTGATATCTGTGCAATATATTTAGCATCTCACCTGTCCAGCAACAGCAGTGAAGTATGTCCACATGGGGTCTCCTGCTGAGGAATAACTGTCAGAATACGCTGGGTATCCACCAGGGAGCAGGTTTGGCCCTGTTCCTGGCATTGGTTGTCCTATCTGCAGCTGCATTCCTGGCATCTGACCGCTAAAATCTCCAAACTATAAGAGTGAAAAAAGTTAAGATTATAAATGCAAACATTATTTGTTATCCACTAAAGTAATATTTATGAGTTGTCTACTGAAAAGCAAGGATAGAAAGAGTTCCTAAAAAGCAACCAAATTCACTGTCACAAAAGCTGTTTGCTAAAAAATCCTAGATGTCTGGCATTAGGACATAATTCAGTTCACTAATATGTTGTCCGGCATCAAAGAAATGTAACAGAAGAAAGTACTCTCTAACCTTTAGGAACTTAGCAGATGAACATGACACACAATTTTTAAGTGTTTATCATCAACATCACTGAAATAAACAAAAGGCAAAGAAATACAAGAAAATTTCATCTATAGTCAAACTAACAAGTAGTATACCTCGGACACAGAAGAATACATGGTAAATACAACGAAACTGTGAACTAGTCATGCGCAACTGCATAAGGTGCAAACATCCTCTCCCCCAGAAAATATCCTTTTAAAAAGACACCAATAGGAGAACCAGGGTGGCTCTGTCCGACTTTGGCCTCCGACTTTGGCTCAGGTCATGATCTCATGGTTTGTGTGTTCCAGTTGTGAGCCGGGCTCTGTGTTGACAGCTCAGAGCCTGCAGCCTCCTTTGGATTCTGTGTCTCCCTCCCTCTCTGCCCCTCCCCCACTCGTGCTGTCTCTATCTCTCATAAATAAACTTAAAAAAAAATTTTTTAAAGACATCAATAAACAGATAAAGTGATAATTCCAACCACAGTCTTCAAAACTAGTAAGAATAGCAACACGAATACCGACAATAATAATGTACAGCTAATATTTACTGAGAGCTTTTTATAGGCCAGGTACTAAATACTTTCCGTTATGTGATTTGATTTTCCAACAACTTTATGAAGTATGAAAATACTATGTACGTTCTGCAGTTGAGGACCTAAAACTTCAAAAGGTTTCCTAAACTAGTAAGAAGTAAGACCGTGGTTAAAATGTAGACAGTCTGATGTTTGTTTCCTGCTACGGTATGGTTTCTCTCTACTTTTTTCACTTTGGAACTTGTTATAGATTTTTAAAACCTCAGAGAGGCATTTTATTGAGCATTTTTATGAGTCTGGAGGAGAAAGAAGTATCGAGATTGTTCATTATTCCATTTTGAACAAAACTCTTGACCTGATCCTTGAAGGATGAGTAGAGACTGCCAGAATGAAAAGAAAAAAAGAATTCTAAACTGGGGGGAGGAGAAGAGTGAAAAAGGTAGGATACTACCAATAGTTTGAAGAACTGCATCACTAGATGTGTACAGGGCAAAGGTATGGAGGAAATATTGGAACTCAGGAAATGCACTTCCAACTCCAGGAAATGCATGACTAGATCATGAAGCAATTAAGAAAGTAAACGGTAAATGTTAAAAGGATATAATGGATAAAAAACAAACAAAAATAGATGGAGGTTTTTTTGTTTGTTTGTTTTGTTTTTTAAGTTACTTCTTTGAAGAGAAGAGACCAATAAAAGGCCAAATTTAGGAATTAAAAAGAGTATATAACCACAATTACAACTTCCAACTCTCAAAGGTGATTTAGGATAAACAGTTATGTAAGAAAAAGTAACCTAACCCTGACCACTTCCCCCTAAAAATCTAGAACAGATTGCCCTTGGTTGAATAGCAAAAATTAGGTGCATTTTAGCATACCTTATTTATTCATAAGCAACTTAAAGGGAAGAAAACAAGAAGTGGTCAAAAAATCGGAAAGAGGACGTGTAGCAAAACTGGGGAAGGTGTGGGTCCACCACAAAACATCACTGAACAGGAAAAGGGTGCTTTGGTTCCTCTAAACCAAGAAGGCAATTTCTAAAAGCACAACACATCCCTGGCTCCACAAGGAGCACCTAAGGTGCCCCTCAGGGACCAGAAAACCTGCGGCTCCCCGCTCCCCTGTGCTTCCAGCACAGTGTAGTCTCAGCCCCGCTGAGTACGGGAGACTAGCTGCGCGAAGCAGAGACAGAAGGCGGACCCCTTAGGCTGGCACCGCCCGCAGGGACGCTCCACCTTGCAGGGGCGGAGGCTGCGGAGAAGCGGCCAAGACTCACCCCTCCTCCGTATCCTGGGTAGGCCATGACGAGTTGAATTAGCGTCCCCCGTCACCCTTTGAGTCAGCGTCCGCCCAACTGGAAGAAAGGAGGAGGAACCCACGCAGATGCAGGGCAGATGCAGAAGCAAGTGAGGCAGAAAGATGCGCTAGCCGCGGGGTTTACTTCCCTGCGACCGCCCCTTCCCGGAGTCGAACCCCGCCTTGCTCGGCTCCGATTGGCTGAGTCCCGTCCTTCGGGGCCCAAGCTACGGAAACTCGCGACTGCAAGGAATCTAATCCCACCCACCTCATCTCTGATTGGCCTCACGCACCCAGCCCCCCTCTTGCTCAGTTCCTATTGGCTCGCTCAGGTCTGGCGCTCTCTCCTCGCTAAACTGCAGAGAAGGCTTTGCTCCGGTAACTTACTTACTCTCCTTTTGGCAAGGGTCTCCAGGTTGAAGTTTCCTTTTCCTGAGAACCCCTAAACCCGCCAGTCCATGGTTTCTTTTAACCTACTCTTCCACTTTTTTGAGCTGTGCTTCCAAATATACATTTGTGAATTTCAAAACTTTCAGTTACTCACATTTATTTTTGCGTAATGTTGACGTCACATCATCAAACTTTGAAACCTTCATCATCTCTGCCCCAAGGGGAGTGCTTCTGAGCTAAAACCCACTTCATGCGAAATTTTACCAGGTTATTTGTAGTTTGATAGAGAAATGGCGAATAGAGTTGCCAGATTTAGCACATAAAAACACAGAATGTTCGGTTAAATTTCATTTTCAAATAAACGATGATTTTTTTTTTTTTTAATGTATGCAGGTCCCAAATATCACACGAGATATACACTTTTACTGAAACAATCGCTGTTTATACGTTAGTACACAGGATGGCCTGTATATTTTCTGGGAACTCTACCAATGACTCAACCTTTAGGCAAACTCTTTGGATATGCCCCTTAATTATATGCACCTAGCCAACAACTTGGTTTATATCACATGGTGAAAAAAGTTATTTTAATGTATTAAGTAACAGTATTTGATAGTTCTGCTATTCTCTGGAACTCAAATGAATTTTGTAGCTCTGGCTTTAAAAAGACCGTATGCACATACACACATGAGAGAACAGGATAGCTGTAGCTTTAGCTTAAAAATGGAAAAAAAAAAAAAAGAGCAGGATGATATTAGATCTGAAGAATATGACAACCAATAAAATGTATCTTAACATTTTAAGGATGGGGGATGAGATTTAGATATATATTAGCAGAGGAAAACAACCTTGCAAAGCTGAGTAACCATTGCCCAGCTACACAACAAAGAAGAAACATACCTTCTGAAATTTTATCAGGAAGAGGCAGAGAGAAAGGAAGATTGCTAATATACAGGAGACTCTTGAGAAAGTGTGTGTTTAGTTCCTCTAACACAATAAGAAATACTTTATGCTATAAAGTTAAATTAGTGGCATAAATAAAAAGATGATAAAACCTACTTGACAAAAGGAAAAACATATGACTGTTAAAGCATCAAGTGATAATGCATTACAAAGCAAAACAAATCATAGCAAGGTCTGATTCTAAATGATTAACTACATACTCAAATGCTCAGAAAGGATTGAGTGTTTTACATCTACAGTGTTAGTCTAAATCTCTGGTCAGAATTTTTGTGCATTTTTTTTTCATCATAATAGACTGCGTTTGTATTGCATTTGTGTATATCAGGGATCAAGTCTCCTTAGCTCTCTTGCATTGCTACAAATCTACTTTCAAAGATAGGGATAGTATTTCCCTCAAGGGCAGAGAAATTTGTTGCAAGCTAACAAAGATACTCTCTCCCTCCAGAGCAAAGTTTGGGTAGGTTTGCTAGCAAGAAATTCCAAAACTTGCAGTTCCTCCATTCTGATACAAACTAACTGCTTGCACAGCACTTGCCTGGCAGGTCCAGCTCACACTGAGGGATTTGGGAGCATGAGGAATCTATGGGAGCCTGAAGCTCACACTGCCTGTTGTGCTATGAATAATAAAATCCTTTGTCTCTGACAGAGGAATCTCATGCATCTGCAACTTCTATGAAACTGTGACAGGCTACTTGTTGGCTTACAAGTGAGATAAAATGTCAAATCCTTCACAGTTCTTGGCAGTGGAGCTACAGAGCTACCTAGGGAAGTTCCTACCAAAGGGTAGCAGAAGATGCCGTTCCAAAATATGCCACTTTGGCGTAAGTATTATTTTGAATTGAAAGCAACTGAGAAGAAGCAGATACAAGAAAAGCTCCTGCCTTCCCTGAATTTGCCTAAAATCATGCCATAAATTTACAAAAGTGTCCTTCCTCCCTCTCAACCAGGAAGGACAAAGATGATTCCTGCGACAACTTAGACCCTTATCAATGGAGAAGATGCCGACATAAATCTGCATAACAAATCTTACACTTGATTACACTGCTTTTCCAGGCAACCTCCCCACAATTAGTCTCCCCCTCACCTTTCTTCCTTTTCTCTTTAGCTGAAAATGGTATCTAAGCTTGAATCACCTCTGAAAGTTATTAATTTTTCCCTGGGTATCTCCCATGTATACGTGAGGATACATGTTATTAAACATCTGGGTTTATTCTGTTGGTAATCTGTTTTTTATTACAGGGGTGTCAGCCAAGAACTCAGAAAGGTGAAAGGAGAATTACTTTACCTCTTGTACAGAACACCACTGTCTGCAGCATCTCTCTAAACCTAGTATTTCAAATTATAAATTTTCTAGTATAGGAATTTAAAAATTCAAATGAGCCCATAAAGAGGTTTTTTTAAGTATATAGTAATGAAAATTTACCTCCACGATTCAGTTAATATTGTATGACCAATGTCGTTTTATGAAAATGTAAAAACACAATGTTTTGTAAAAAAAAAAAAAAATGTAGAACATTACATTTCTAAAATGTAAAAAAAAAATCCAATTTTAAATTATACATTTTCTTTTCTGAAAACACTCCATTATTCTATAAAAATAGCTGCTTACAGAGTGAATACCGTGTAACAGGCACTGTGTGCTGTGATGAGCTGTTGCTCAAAACAGCGCCATCAGGTATATACTATTATTATCTCCATTTCACAAATGTGAAAAGTATGGTGGAAAACTGTATATCACTTGCCCAGAGTTGCATAGTTGGTAGCAAAGCTGAGATTAGAACTCAGGCCACCTTGGCTGCAGAATGTCATCTCTAACAATGCATTTTCCCTTCCCTGCCCACTCCCCACCGTATCATCTTAAAATACAGTAAAAATGATTTACACTATAGGAGAAAATGGTTTAAGGAGTAGAAAAACAGCACACCAATAACTAGACAAGTGGACAAGAAAATTCATTGTTTTGACTAAGATGAGCCAATCAAATTACTTCTCTTACACAAGATACAAGTTTTCTGGTGAGCATTAAGCTTTCATGATTATGTCTACTTATGGTATTTCTTCCTAATCTTCTTGAACTTTGGTCTTACCATAAATTTAGATATTAAACTAACCAGTAAAATACAAACACTGAATTAATAATGTTTTCCTTTCCTATCTGTTGCTACCTCATTTTTCTTTCCCTCTATACCGGGGGGTTCCCCCCCGGGGTGGGGGAGTAGGGAGTAGGGATAGGAGAGACAGGGACATAAGCGCCAAGCGTAAAATTTTAATGCTCCTCAGCAAACTTCAGTTGCAGAGCCAAAGGCTACCTCTCTCACAGAATTTATTTATATATGCTAAATACTATAACAAGACATACCGACTAATGAAAAACAACATTACAGGAGCTTATTTTATATCATTAAGAAATTTCACTTAGACTGATTCATTTATTCAAAAAATTATTGAACATCTATAATGTGGCACTGGTTTAAATAAGAAAAAAAATACACCAGGGTTGGAGGAAGTTTTGTACTTCTGGACGTTACGTTCTGGTAGAGAGAACAAACAAAAAGTGAAGACAATAAATCAAGTCTGTGGTATGTTAGGAGAGGATAAGTGCTGTGGAAGGAAAGGAAAACAAAAGCTGGGTGGTGGAGTAAGGTGACAGAGCAAGTTGCTCAAGGTAACCTCATTGAGAAGGTGAAGTTTGAGCAAAGACTTGACCTGAGTAAGTTAGACATGTAGTAACCTGCAGGAAGAATGTTCCAGCAAAACTAGAGCTACAGTTCTAAGGCAGAAGCCTTCTGACCTGGCAGAGAACAGCAAGGAGACCAGTGAGTCTGGTGTGGATGGAGCCAGAGGGAAAGTCTAATAATGGTTACAGAGGAGGGGGAATGGGGCAGGTCACCCTGGGCCTTTATTAGGCATTGTAAAGACTTTATACTCTGGGTGAGATTAAGAACCCACTGAGGGTTTGGGGCCTTAGCAGAACATAATATGATTTAATTTGTAAAAGATCACTCTTCCAGCTGTGTTGACAATAGACTGAAGGGGGTTAGCATAGAAGAAGCAAGGAGATCCAGGGGCGCCTGGGTGGCTCAGTCAGTTGAGCGTCCGACTTCAGCTCAGGTCATGATCTCGAGGTCTGTGGGTTCAAGCCCTGTGTCAGGCTCTGTGCTGACAGCTTGGAGCCTGGAGCCTGCTTCAGATTCTGTCTCCCTCTCTCTCTGCCCCTCCCCTGCTCATGCTCTGTCTCTCTCTCTGTCAAAATGGATAAACATTAAAAAAAAAAAAAAAAAAAAAAAAGCAAGGAGATCTGATAGCAATCTGTTGGTAATTTAGAGATGGTGGTGTTTACCAGGGTAAGCAGCTGAGATGGGAGATGTGGTGAAATTATTTTTTATTTTTAAGGTAAGGTACTGATGTTTTCGATTTGCCCTTTACTTTTTTTTTGTTAATGTTTATTTATTTTTGAGAGTGAGACAGACAGACAGAGTGCAAGCTGGGGAGGGGCAGAGAGAGAGGGAGACACAGAATCTGAAGCAGGCTCCAGGCTCTGAGCTGTCGGCACAGAGCCCGATGCGGGGCTCGAACCCACAGTGAGATCGTGACCTGTGCTGAAATCAGACGCTTAACCGACTAGCCACCCAGGTGCCCCTAGATTTGCCCTTCAATGACATGGTGATAAATAACTCTCTCCTTGACCAAACTCTAGCCGGGTTCTTCTGAGCTCTCTTCTTGACTAAGCCTTAATCCTGGCCTATAAAGAATTGAACAAACACTAACATAGTTTGACAGCTCCAGGCTGCATCCCTAGGATGACTGTAGCTCCCTTTAAAGTACTTATCTCAGAGAACTCAAGCCTGCCCAAAGAATTTACTGTTTGTTCCAGCCAACATCTGAAGATCGGGCCTACTCTCCTAGTCTCTGTGAGAGGGTAGGAGCCTAACTTGGAGAAACGCCAGCAGACAAACCCAGATGTGTTTCACATCGACTAAACCCCTCTTACTGCTTTTTGTAATTTTTCTTTTTCCTGACACTATAAAGCCCCCACTTACTCCTTTCCTATTCTCTCACTCTCCCTTTTATTTTTTTATTTATTTAAAAAAAAATTTTTTTTAACGTTTATTTATTTTTGAGACCGAGAGAGACAGAGCATGAATGGAGGAGGGTCAGAGAGAGGGAGACACAGAATCTGAAACAGGCTCCAGGCTCTGAGCTGTCAGCACAGAGCCCGACGCGAGGCTGGAACTCACGGACCGCGAGATCATGACCTGAGCCGAAGTCGGCCGCTTAACCGACTGAGCCACCCAGGCGCCCCTCTCACTCTCCCTTTTAAATACCCTGTCACTTCTGTACAAATCAAAGTTGATTTCCATCCACTCTGGACATTTTTCCCCATTATTGTTATTGTAAATATTTCCCTATTATTTAGTATAAATAGTATATTATGGATTAAAATCATCCTTACCACTTTAGTCCTGCTTTGTTTATCTTTGCCAATGGTAAAGACCAAGGAAGAGTTGTTTGGGGTGGCCAAATCAAAACTCAATACGGTACATGTGAGACTTGGGATGTCTGTGAAACTAGGTGATAGTGTGACGTAGGCTGTTGATCTAATAGGCTGGATGGAGTGAACAGCTTAGCTAGTGATGGTTCGTACCAACCACCCAGCATCTGTATCTTAATGAACCTTGCTATTCTCCACTTGTTACATATGCAGCAACTGTTGGGAGGTAGGGAAGAACTTGGTGGGACGTGGAAGGTATTCCTCCAAAGTGTCTTAAAGTGAAAATTAATTGCTAATGCTGGTAATGAAATAAGAGGGGCCCAAGAAATGAATACCCCTTACATCATTTTCCTAGAAATTAATAACAGAAATAGATTTATGACCTAGTAGATAAAAGGTATAGCTTACTACATATGCAAAATGATTCTGGCAAATTTTCAGTCCATGTAGTTTGAGAAACTACACACACACACAGTGTCTCAGCTGATGCTGCCATAACAAAACACCATAGACTGGCTGACCTAAAGAACAGGAGTTTATTTCTCACAATTCTGGAAACTGAAGGTCCAAGATCAAGGTGCCGGCAGGGGCAGTGTCTGGTCAGAACTCTCTCCTTGGGTTGCAGATGGCCGCCTTCTTGCTGTATCCACACATGGTTCTTCCTCATTCTTGCTCTGTCCTCTGACTATGTGGGTGGAGAGAGACAGAGGAAGTAAGTTCTCTGTTGTCTCTTCTTATACGGGCATTACTCCCATCGTGAGAGTTACACCTTCCTCATCTCATCTAAACCTAATTACCATCCAATGATTCCCAATATCATTACACTGGGGCTTAGGCTTCAACAAATAAATTTTAGGGGGGCACAGTTCCATCTATATAGCACACCAAATCTGGAAGGTGAGGAAGAGGAAATATGTCCATACGTTAGTCATAACGTCCACTGTTGTGTCATCACCTTAGATCTGCCCTAGTATTTGTTTATCTATTTTATGCTAAAATGTATTCATACGGATTTCATGCCATGGTTTTAATTGATATACATGCAATAATTGTCATACTTTTTGAGGAAATTATTTATTGTTTTTATGGAATAACATATTGTATGCAATAATGAAGGCTCTGTATGTATTATTTGTACAAGGCATAAAAATGTGACAGTATAAAATGAAACTACCCAGTAATAATTTTATTATCAAACTATTGCAAGTGCCTAAGGGTTAATGCCCACTAGTGAGGACAGAGAAAAATAAGCTTCACAAATAAGACAGAAGTAAATATTATTTGTCTTTTATTACTGAGACCAGCCACTTGACAAACTGCCCTTATTCAGCTAAGCTTTCAACAACAGTTTTTCTGTTTCTAATTTCCGTAATATTAAGTACTCTTTTGGCAGAAGCACAAACTCAAAAGCAATTTAAAAAAGAGTAATGCATATATGAAAAGTGTCAACAGGGCTCTTCAGAGAGGTGAAGAATGGTAGTTTCGTAATACATACTTCCTCACTTGGATCATCAGGCACTATTAAGCAATCTAGATTCAATGCAAACTTCTTTAGAAATTCTAAAACTGTATCTAAAATGCTGACCACAAAATGTGTCCACAAAAAAATCCTCAAAAACAGCTGCAATACTTACGCGCCTAGGTGGCTCAGTCAACTGCACATCCAACTCTTGATCTCAGCTCAGGTCTTGATCTCAGGGTCGTGAGTTCAAGCCCCACATTGGACTCCACACTTGGCGTGGAGCCTACTTAAAAAAGAAAGAAAGTAAAAGCGCAAGCTGCAATACTGATTAATAACCTTGATAAAATAATCTGTTACTCAGGAAATGTTGGAAAAATACCCATCTTACATGTTAAATCCAGGTTTCATGCTTGTGAATATCAATTAGACTCCATATCAATAACATGGGATCATATACTTTCAAAATTATAGAAATACAGAAAAAACTAATGTTGACTGAATACTTATTTTAGCTGGTGCTTATCCTTGGTTAGTAACTTGCTCACATACAATGGGAATTAAGTTAGAGTAGTCCTGTTACAAAAAAACAAAAATATTTTGATCAAAAACATAAAAGTGCTTAAACACATTACAGACTAAAAGCTGAGATCATTCCATTTCTACACTAATGCTTAGTTGTTTTGCATATGTGTGAAGATAAGATTGCCCCTGTCTCTCATCAATGTGAAACTATTGGTAGGAATAAGACGCAGTAATAGAAATTTTAACAACTACAACCTATTTATTTATATAGCACATGATGCTTTTCATAGCTATTTTGGACATTATCATATTTGAGTTTCCTCCAAATCTTGTGAAATTAGTAGCACCAAATATATTTTAAGAGGAAACTAAGAGAGTAATAAGTTGAATTATGGAGGGAGACACAGATCGAAAGAGTTGCAAAATATTTTTAAAACAAAACATGACCTGATTTATTCATGTTTGGAAAATGACAACCTACAGTGCTCCTATAGTTTTGAATGAATGAATTAATTAATGAATGAATATATGAATGAAGTCCCATGCTTAGAGCTTTTTAAGTTGCTTAAACTAAGAATTAAACTGGGTAGGGGCGCCTGGGTGGCTCAGTCTGTTAAGCGTCTGACTTCAGCTCAGGTCACGATCTCGCGGTCCGTGAGTTCGAGCCCCGCATCAGGCTCTGGGCTGATGGCTCAGAGCCTGGAGCCTGCTTCCGATTCTGTGTCTCCCTCTCTCTCTGCCCCTCCCCCGTTCATGCTCTCTCTCTGTCCCAAAAATAAATAAAAACGTTAAAAAACAATTTAAAAAAAAGAATTAAACTGGGTAGAACTTTATTGCTTGAGTTATCCTAAATTAAAAACCGAACTAAATAAAAAGAAAAAAAATTGGTGCTCTCTGTGTATATAGTCCCTGAGGTTGGGATTATGATATATACTAACACTGATGAGGACTCATGATCAGAAATGGTGTCAGGAGCAACCTGGGTAGGTGTAACAAGCCCAGCTAATGCCCCATCCAAGATTTGCTTCATTTCACCTACCTTGGACATTTGTTTTGCTCTCCTGCCTTTAGCCAAAAAACTCAGTTGCTGCCATATCCATCAGAAAACAGCAGATGGCACACTCAAGCATAGTAATTGAGAAACTGCAATAAAGTCACCATTTACAAAGGTGTTAATACAGTTAAGAGTCACCAAAAAGGGATGATGGGACATCTCAGAGCAAGCTACGATGAGAATCCATTACTGCCCTTAGGATGAGAGGGCAAGGCAAAGAAGCAGTGTTGAAACCTAAAGAGAGTAGCTATACAGAGACAGCCATCTGACACATGACCTTTAGTAGAAGGATACATGATGAACTACACAGAAAGGAGCTGAGGGAACAAATACTACAACCTCACTCTTTTCCCTGCCTCTGATCACCTGTCAGTGCTTCCACTGGCTGATCTCAATCAGAAGCCAGCGGGAAAGAGAGTTCATGGATGCAGTCCATAAAGGTCAGCATCCCGGGGCACAGTGCAAAATAGAGGGTAGAGCATGGGTCTTCAGGAACAAGTGGAAAATATCATGCACGTTGAAGAAAAAGAAATTCCACAACTTACACTTACAATCCTGCCAGAATTTGACAACTTTTCAATGAGAAACTCAACCCATTTAATTTTTCTGTAAGGTAAGGCAAAAATCCAGGCAAATTGCATACAATAAATATTTATAGAATAATTATATTGAATGGTGAATTAAATCCAAAGGGATGATTAAACAAATAGGCTATATAGAAGGTGGGGGGGAGGAGGGAGAGAGAGGAATAGACAGAGATAGAAAGATAGAAAGAGAGAGAGAGAGCGAACATGAACGTAAGTTTTTATTCAGCCACCATGATTCTAGTAAAGGAGAATGTAACCTAGCAACAGAAGCTTTACAAAACGGTTTGCTCATAAATTGTTGAAAATGGTAGTGATATCAGAATGCATAATTAAATAAAGAGAAGTTACCAGAGCGCTGACTGGGGACAGAGAGAACTAATATCTAAGTAGATGGGTAAGAAAGATCAAGTGGTTTGTGGGGTGCCTGGGTGGCTCAGTCGGTTGAGCGACCGACTTAGGCTCAGGTCGTGATTTCATGGTTTGTGAGTTTGAGCCCCGTGTCGGGCTCTGTGCTGACAGCCCAGAGCCTGGAGCCTGCTTTGGATTCTGTGTCTCCCTCTCTCTCTGCCCCTCCCCCACTCATGCTCTGTCTCTCTCTGTCTCATAAATAAACATTAAAAAAAATTGAAAGAAAGATCACGTGGTTCTTAATATTCAAATTCTGATGTAAAACCTTTCTACACATTATTTTAAATAAATATTCACATAAAGTGAAAACTGTTTAGAAGGAAACAAAACTAATTTTTGCTGGAAAAGCATGTGCCTAAAATAGATCTTTTTCAGTCTAAATTTGAAAAAAAGTAAGTGTAACCTCAACCTTGCAGGAAAACATTTATCTTTAAGTTTGTGACCCTATCATAGTTTTTCAATAATGAAAAAAACAGCCGATACTTAGATCAATTTTGGTATATCCTCCTGATTGATATTTGGTAATATTTATGTATAAAACTATCAGCTAACCACATCATGTGGTTAATACCAATAAATTAATTACCAATGTCATAAATTAATACCAATGTCAGAGTTAGGATAATTTCTCTTTATCACTACTGATTTCATTTATTTACACACACATTGTGAGTTCAAGGGAATATGTTAATTGGTGTATGTACTATATTTTCTTATTTGCTGTATTCCTGACTCTCAGGCATCTGGGGCCTCTCCGCCTCAAGAGAGACTGGCCCTCTTAGAGACAGCCAATTCTTAGAGATAGCAAATGACTCAACTGTCATACGTAAACTAGGCAATCCACAGTCCCTGCCCTAAACTATCTCCTTTCTGGGCTCTTTCACCCCAAAGGACAGTACTTCTCTGCATTAATCTCCCCGGGGCTGGACAACAGGCAGCTAGAGATAACCTCCCTGCCCAGAGCCCTCTAAAATTATTCAAACTCGTCAATTCCAACCCTACCTACCTTACCTCGCATTGCCTTTCCCACAGAAACCACAATAAAGGCTTCTGCCCATGCTTCCCTTGTTCCTTCTGCCTCTTGACTGACCCCGGCATTTCTCTATGTGGTCCTCCATGGGTGAGGTGCCCCTCTTATTGGAAATTGTAACAAGCTGTTTTTCCAATGGCAGTCACCTCTGATCTGTTGGCCTTACCATACTGGAAAAATAAGAAAATTTACATGTTAAAACAGTTGGTACTAGTCATTATTGTTTATGCTAACGCCTAAAAGAACTGGGCAATAAATAGTTTAGAGCTTTATAATTGACTCCAAGTTCATCTTCTGGCTCTGTGACATTGGGCAATGTAATAAAACTTTTATGAATCTTGGTTCCTCCTTTGGAAAATGGGGATATTCCCTTCTAGAAGATCCATTAGTCCCCTTTATGTTGTTCTCTGCTTTTATAAAATAAGTCTATACCAAATTATCTTTATCTTTATCTTTATCTTCCCATTGGGAAATATAGATTACCTATCTTTTCTTTTATGTGTTAAAAATTCTATATCGTTCATAGTTGCGATTTTACTTAATTGATACCAGCCAAATCGGTTCTGACACAGTTAATATTGACAGTAAAAACCCCACAAGGTGGCGGCAGAGGAAACACAATTATAAGCAGGTTGTATACAAGAGCCTGAGGAAGGAAGCAAGGTCTGGCTTCCCCTTTCCGAATACCTTTCTGAGAATGGGGAGATACAGCCGAATGTCAACCACTTGGCCTGGGCTGCTTTGAGTCTGCCACCTCCTCAGAGAGTCACTTGTCATCAAAGTTCCAGGCACTTCATGAGCCACAGGCAGTTCTTGGGCCCACCTGAGAACCTGGGTCAGCTTTTGGAATTCATTTTGTGAAGAAGCTCAAGTTGTCTCTACAATTCATTGTGGCATTCCACAAATATTAAATGTTAATATTATTCTTAATTCCTTTTTTTAAAGTTTATGTATTTATTTTGAGAGAGAGTGCAGGAGGGGCAGAGAGAGAGGGGAGAGAGACAGAGTCCCAAGCAGGCTCCATACTGTCAGCACAGAGCCTGATGTGGGGTTCGAACTCACGAATGAGATCATGACCTAAGCCAAAACCAAGAGTTGGCCGCTTAACCAACTGAGCCACCCAGGCGCCCCAAATATTATTCTTAATTCCTAATCAGTGACATACAGTACATTTATGTGCACATAACTAGTCTGTTCCTGAAAAAGAAAATATTTATAAAATGTATTAAATCAAACACCACTCACAATCGATGCTTGCAGCCTTATTTACATTTATCCATCTATTAAAATCATAAATCCTTCATCTTGAAATATTTTTAAGTGCATCACTTGTAGTAATAAAATAATTTGGACCGCTCTGTAACTAAAAACAAATTCCCACATAGCACAATATGTCTCTCTTGAATCTTTTACTGCATTGGAGGAGAAAGAATCAATGAATTAACACCATCTGTGCTAACTAAGTTCCAAAATTTTTGCACCAGTTCTAAAGGTTGGGAAGGACTATGCAAACTCCCCTAAGTCTATACACCTTCAACACAAATATGCATTATAGACAAGCAAATGCAATGCACAAACACACGTCCTAATTAGGAATTTAAAGGAGAAAGATTAAATCATTTTAGCAGGAATCAGGAAATATTTTACAGAAGTATTTTTAAGATATTTTAAAATATTTAAAAAAGTAAATCATAAGTTGTACAAATATGAAATCATTACACATTTTAGGATCATTTGCTTTATAAAATGTGGTATCATTTGCAGCCTGAGTGAATTGGTGTGTCATTCTTTGAGTCACTGACTGATTCTACTCATGCCTTCTTTCACTTATAACAAGCGTAGAAGTCCCTTTCCTTCCCTCAACAAAGTCCCTTTCCCTCCCTCAACAATATGGTATACTGTTTTCAGAACTTGCCCAAATTTTCTCATATGTGGTTCTGTGAAAAAATGGCTGGGGCAAAGGGCAGCTGCCCAGCCTAAACTCAGAGTTTTGACTTGTTGGGAGACAGTTCAAGAAGGCTGTACTACTTGGGGCACCTGAGTGGCTCAGTCGGTTGAACACTGGACTCTTGATTTTGGCTCAGGTTGTGGGATTGACCCCCATGTAGAGCTCCACACTGGTCATGAAGGCTGCTTGGGATTCTCTCCCTCTCTCTCTGTTCCCTCCCCTCTTGAGCTCTCTCTTCTTCTTTCTATAAAATGAAAAAAAGAAGTCTCAGGTACAATATTTCTATTTCTTTAAAGAATTCTTTATACGTCACGTTCTGGTCTTTCAGCACAGAAATTTTCAAATGCTTGTCCAAATATATGGAAAAATGTGGAATTTTTTTCTCACAACAATTTTTTTTTTAAATGAGTCTCTTGACCTAGTCATGGCCTTGAGGTCATCAGGGATCAGCCACTGTCATATTCAAAATCATGCCTTTTATCAGGCAAAAGTTAATGTCCCTTGTCTTCCTCAGAAGAAATTGTGTCAGGGATGCCAGAAAGACTTGAGGTGAGGCCTATTTAAAACTTGATTCCTTGGACCAGAGGAAAGTCCTTACTGTAGTTGATTGTACAAGTAGATATTCGTGGATTGTTTAGCATGACCACCAGATTCTCTGACACCACCAGTGTGATTTTCTCCTCCAAATGTACCTCTAGTCTCAGTCCCAAAGTATAGAGTGTATAAAAGATGATCTGCTGTCTTTGGAGTAGGAGTGGGGCCCAGAGCCTTGCCCACTGAGCCTCTCTCTCCATACCCCTCTAAGGTATCACTATGTCATATTAAGTTTCCTCAAAGTAGGGTTTGAATATTAGTCACCAAGGATATGACAGACTTGGAATAACAGTGGCTACACAATGGAGCTTTATTGGGTGTGAAACTTGGATTTCCTGATAGTCTTCCTAATTTCCCTCTTAATGGTAGAAGAAGTATAAGAAATTCCAGTTGCTTAACATAAGGAAGACAGTTGTTTTGAACCAGAGGGGTCGCTGATTCTCTTTGCTGAACCAATGGGTTGGGGACTACCCAGAGCTTAGGTAACAGTTAGGTGTAAGATAAGCTAAAATTCCTCTAACGTCACTCAGGTTCAGATTTTCTGCCCTTGTTCGTTACTTTCCAGTTCACACACATTAGATGACCTTTTTAGTTGAATTTATATATGATCCATTTTTTTCAAATATCTGCTGGAGATTTACATTCTGAAGTGTTCACAGGGCTACTGCCATGAAGGTATGTATTTTCTGTGATGTAGAATACATTTCATTTGTTCTAGGAAAATATCTGACAATGTCCAGGTCAATGGATTTGGTAGACAAATGTTGCAAACTACATTTCTCAGAACAAAGTGCTGAAAATGTATGTTCATTTATATCTTGGCTTTAGCTAAACTGAAAGGGAATGACCCAGGAAGTACACAAAGCGCAGCTGAGTTTTTCATATTCACCTGGGTAGCCTAGGAAACTACTTACCTACTCACTAAAATTTATCTGTAACCCCCAAATCATTACTTTTGATGAATCATTGGTGGATCTCTGCAGAGTAGCGAAAAATTTGAATCACCTAATGCGGATGTTCCCAGCCGAGGCTGAACAAGGCGAAGTTTTCCCTTCTTGTTTCAGCTCTCATACTATGAACAAGTGTCCTTTTCATGGTATATTTAGTGCCGATTTTTTGCATTTTGGTGCTTTTTGTTGGCGATTTCACTGTTTAAAATGACTCCAAGCAGAGTCCTGAAGTGTTATCTGGTGTTTCCAAGCACAGGAACACTGTGATGCATCTCACAGAGAAAATGTGCATTGGATAAGCTTCCCTCAGGTATGAGTTATAGTGCTGTTCAGCGTTGAGTTCAATGTTAACGAATCAACAGTACATATTACATGAGGTGTCTTTAAACAGAAACACACACAAATCAAGGTTATATATTGATTCGTTTTTAAAATGTTGTGAGCAGAGTGTGACCTCATTCTGTATATCCCCAAGAGCAGTGGTTCTGTATTCAGTGATTCAGTACAACTTTATAGTACAAAACTATCATGAATAATGAGACTCTGCTGGACTCAGCCAGCACTAGGCTAGCAGAGGCCCTAACACCTCGTCCTCACCTCTGGCTGGAGAGCAGAATCACAAGTGGAATTGAAAGGGAAAATAACTGACACTAAAGTTCCAACACTGGAGATTTGGATGCAGTGGATAATTGTGTACATCTTTCCATGTGAGTCTAATATGCAGCTCACTGGGCTTGAGAACAACTTCCTAACTCACTCTGTGGCCACAACAAGAATTGAACGGCTGCTTTGGCACTACTTCCCACCGGGGGTGCTCTCCAAGGGCAATATGTGTGCTCCAGTAGGGAAATCAGCTGGAAAACAAAATTTTCTAGCTTTCCTTGGGTCATCTGTATATTTTAAAATTTAAATAAAATGGTTTGAGCGCCTAGGATAAACAGTGCCTTACTATTAAACATCAGGATTGTTTAATTTTTGAGCAGATACCACTTTATGTTAGGGAAGGATACAACCCAGTTCCAGCCAATGAAATATACAAGAAATTCTGCTGCCGGGGGGGAGGGGGGGGGGCTCCTAGGACATTTTTTTTCCCTTCACTGTTGGGAGGAAACAAATGGGAGAAACTTGATGCTCCAACCCTCTACAACAAGCTTTTAACTGAAGCTGTGAGAAGAAATAATGTTTGTAGCTACTGTAGCCATTTTGCAACCATGAGACGCATCCTAGGGTTCTGACATCAATGAATGCACTGACTCCTCTTGTTATGTGAGAAAAATCAATCCTTCTGGCTGCACCACATTTACTTAGCATTCTTCATCTTGTAGCTGAAAGCATGCCTACAGAGATGGCCCTTTCCATTCTGCAGAGCATTGTAAGTCTCGCACTATCCCTAAGATGTCTGAGGATTCCTCGGGGGCTTATGCTCTCATTGTCACCCTTGGATGGAATTCTCAATCCAAGTTCCCTGTCACAATTTCAGCAGATACATTTTCCTCCTATGCAGCTCTGCTGTACCACATGGGGTCACCAGCTCTCTTTATTCACCAAAGCACCACAACACAAAGCTGTTCTTTGTGGCAGACTTTTATGAAAGATCTGGGACCAAGAAGGGTCAGTACAGCAAGTGCAACATAAGAATGTGCTTGTTATTCAATAATAGGCATTGCTGCCCAAATATCCCGGCCATCCCTGCTACTGGGAATCTCCCACAGACTCTTTCTCCCCTTGGCATGTCAACATGGTCTCCCTATGAAGATCTCTTCCTTGGAGACCTCTTCCTCATCTCAGATCACTCCCTGTTGAAGAGATGTGTATATGCACACAGGCATATACACCTATATTTACATAATAAGATATTGGTAGGAAATACACTTAAAATATTAATAATGCTTATCTCTGGGTGATGGGAGGACAAAGTAATTAATATCATCATCTTCAGTATTGTGTTATTTCCTTCCAAAATTTCTACAGTGAACATAAACTGTTTCTTAAGTGAAACATTAATTTTATTAAAATATTCAATTCCCGAATACATTTCATATCCTATTGCATGCCTGGCAATGATATGAAATATATTCAGTTTGCATGTGTTAACTTAGCGTACTGACATTTGTCACAAAGCAATACTAGAAACTGGAAATGTTCTTCCAAGATCTAAATGCTGAATTGCCCTTCTTTTTCCGACGTTCACTCTCCTTTCACCTACACATCTTCCTCTTCTACTCATATTAATTCTGCTCTACAAATTCATCACAGCCTCTAGTGCTTGGGCTCTCTAGAGCTGAGGTCTCCAAGGAGTTTGTTTTTGATTCCTTATTACTAAAAGTAGTTGACCGTGGACCATAATAAACTTTTGTATGTACTCACTTAGAAAAATCTTTATGTATACAACTATAATAATTTATCATAAAATACAAACAAATTAAATAGTAAGGCATCAGATGAAGATGAAATGACATGGTCCAATGTCATTGATATAATCCAGTGGGTTAACAATAAAAGGTATTTTGTAATTGACAATGCTTTTTTATTTAAAAAAAATCTTAGTTTAACCCTTTGTGATTTAGCAATTCAAATAGATTGATTCAATTTATGTTAATATTTGATTTCAATAACTCATTCTATAGCACACCTACTTCAAAACTTTGTCAGTTATAATATGAACAGGTGAAATAAAAATACTTAACTAATTGTATGGGGGTGGATAGTAAGTAATTAGAGCAGCAACCCTTTAATCAAAATGAACACAGGATGAGACATCTAATCCCAAGTGTTTACCAGCTAAATGTCAACCGTCATTTCAAGGAAAAACACAATGACGCTCTAATCCCTCTGATTGAAGCTTGCTCTCAACCATTGGTTTTCAAATCAAGTAAAAGAAGCATGGCCAATTTCTGCCTTTGAGGTAAAGGTGTTGTTTTAACAAAAACATGTCCAAGTGACTGTTTTTGAAAAGACTTAAGCTATGGAGGAAACATTTGGAAAAACAGATGTTTGGAAAAATGTTCACTGATACCTGATTTTTTTTTTCTAACAGTGTTTGTTATGTAAAAAGACGTTTACATGTGCATGCTTACAACCAGACCTTTATAACTGAATTGGTAAAAATAATTAAGAACTGAGTATCAGGATCTGATAAACTTAGCTAAAAGTTTTAGCTTTCTGTTTTGGAACTCCTGTTTTGAAATATAAAGCTGTGACAGTAGACTTTCAATAACCTCTGCTAAATCAGTCTATCAGCTTCTGTTTCTTGAAAAAAGTGATACTGCCTAAAAACTCAATTACATGGCTAGTTACTATATAGGTTTACATATATACATCACCAATTTATTTCCGCTATAAATTGTGCATTCTCTGAGAAGTAGCAACATCTCTTACTCATTGCTTATATAAGAATGCTGGCAGTCGCTTCTTGGACTGGTGCTAAGTGCTTTACGGTCTAACCTTTGAACAACCTTATAGCATGGTACTGGTGTTCTTGTTTCACAAGTGCAAAATTTTAGGTGATTTTTCCTAAGAACACACAGCAATTAAGAGGCAGTGCTGAGGGTCACCTGGGTGGCTTAGTTGGTTAAGCATTGACTCTTGGTTTCTGCTCAGGTCATGATCTAACAGTTTAGGAGTTTGAGCCTCACATCGGGCTGTGTGCTGACAGTGTGGAGCCTGCTTGGGATTCTCTCTCTCTCTCTCTCTCTCTCTCTCTCTCTCTGTCTCTTCTTCCCTCTGCCCCTCCCCTGCTTGTGCTGTCTCTGTCTCTCTCAAAATTAATACCTGAACTTAAAAAAAAAATAGAGGCAGGGCTGAGATGTGAGTTCTGATGTCCTGGCTCAGGGTCATGATGCTTAATCAGAACAGTATACTGCTAGATTAAGTTTAAAGCCACATTCAGCTGTGAAATTATACTTCCAGTTTGCCAAAAAAAAAAAAAAAAGTACAATTACTTCTCAATTGTACAAAACTCAGATGAAAAGTTGGATAATGGCAGGAGTCAGTTATCTTGTATCTTTCTGAATTACTGTTTCTGAGAACAAAATGCTAACAAGTGACTTTTAAAATTGATGAGGTGATGGGGCCTAAAGTGTTTCTTTTGGGTTTAAAAAGAAAAGGCAGGTCTAGAAAAAAGGAAACAGATAAAATTCAACAGATTTTCTATCCCAAAGGAAAGAGGAAACAGAAACTGATATTTAGACAACAAGGAGGAGAATGAAAATGAAACTTATCAGGAAAATTGACAGAGGAAAACGCCCAAACAAAAAGCAGAAAATAAACTAAATCATGCTGCACACTTTTGGATAAAGAAAAAAGACATGTTTTGAGAGACTGGCTCGGCTTCCCCCCCCCCCCAATCTCCTTCTTCCAGAAGGGGTCCTATCAAGATGATGGAAGATTCCTAAAAAAGATGTTCCTTTCTATTTCCTTCAGGCTTCCCCACCCATTCTCAGTCCTCATCATTCAATCCTCATCCAGCAAAGTGACTCTTACTTGAGAATAAATATGAATTGTTGTTGATGGATATTATGGAATGGTAATGGTGTGATTTAGAGGAGACTGTCTATATGGAAAATCAACTGGTGAAACTATAATTGCATTATTATCTAGGTCTCACCAAGATCAGGAACAAGACAAGGGTGCTCACTGTCCCCACTCATATTCAACATAGTACTAGAAGTCCTGAACAGAGCAATCAGGCAAGAAAAAAGAAAGGAAAGGCATCTGAATTGGACAAAAAGAAGTAAAGTTGTCTCTATTTGCAGGCGACATGATTCTATACAGAGAAAAATTTAAAGACTCCACCAAAAACCTAATTAGATCTCATCAACTAATTCATTCAGCAAAGTTGTAGGATATGAAATCAATATACAAAAATCAGTAGCATCTGTATACACTAAAAATGAATTATCTGAAAGAGAAATAAAATGATCTCATTTACTATAGTATCAGAAACAGGAATGGATCTGACCATAGTCCTCATAGCATTTGTTCTCTATTATTTGGTATTTGTCCTCCCACTCCCATTAGAATGTGAGCTCCATAAAAAAAGAAACTTTGTTCAGTTTTATTAACTACACAAGAGCAGCACTGCTCATATTGCAGGTACTTAATAAATATTTTCAAATTATTGTATGAACAAATGAGGTAAGCTTAACACTAAATATCAAAGCTTCTACTTTTGACCTTCTGTCACCCCAACAGCAGTTCCATGGTGTTAAGAAGATGACATTATCTCCCCATATTTGACCATCAAAACCTTTGTATCCTCCAGTGTTTGAAACCCAAGGACAGAGGGATGAGTGTTAGGGGACAGAATGATTTTTGGTTGGTTGGTTGGTTTTTGTCTTAACATACTGAGTGAAACCAGACAGCACCTGAAGAGCAGGCATGGAGGGAATTTCTTGGAATAGTCCTAAAAGATATCTTCATATACCCAATAACTAAAATTGATCATTTGAATACTTTTGTAGAGACATCTAATTTGATATCTTTTATTTAAGGGGCCAACTCCCCAAAATAAGTAAATACATAGTAGTGTTTTATGAAGAAACGTTAAAGAATAATATAAAGCAGGTTCATCTGCAAGGCCAAAGTTGCATTTCGCTTCAACAACTTTCACTATGTGTCTGACATTGGACCAGCTGCTAAGGTCAAGGCAAATAAAATTCTCATTGGGGATAATCAGCAAGGACCTACTGGTAGGACCTACTGCTTGTATTATACTGGTTACTGTGTAAATATGTCCTCTCTTCAAGCAGCTTACACTCCATATAGGAAGAAAAAGCTTAGCTACATAATATCATTAGAGCATAAAATAAGATAAAATAAAATGAAGAGCTCAATTGAATATTCTGTATGCCTCTGACGAAAACAAGTATTTCTCTTACCTAGTCCAAAGCACCACCAGGCCTCCCTGTCCTATCCAAACTTCACTGAATGTGCTTTGCTAACAGATTACTTTTCCTAAACGTATCTTTTTAAAAGCTTAAGTGACCCCCTCCTTCCTCCACATAACTCTAGACCATGAGGTTCTCATCGTGAAGCATATACACTACTACCCACAGCCACCCAGGGAGGCAGAATATGAGTAGCAACCTGAAGAACTCACTTTTATGTGGCTTCTGTACTGAACCGAAGCTGCCATTTTTCAGTGTGGGTGTCTTTTTTTCCCTCATGACATAGACAAATGTTGATGTTTACTACAAGTTGGTACATTAGTTGCTAATTAAGTTCCTAGCTGCTTCAGCCAAAACTTTCTGTATTGAATCCAAGAAAAGAATGGCAGCTATATCAAAAATAAGTTGTTGGGGATTTTGTTTTGTTTTATTAAAGGAAAGTTGTATATTAAAGAATATGGGGAACTTACAGGCTGAGAGATAGAAAACCTTCATTCTTGGCTTCCTCCTAAGCTGAGTTGGTGGTTAAAGTCCCTCTTCGTCTGTCACTGGGCCCTGGTCAAAGCCAAATAAATACTACATGAGGCAAGAAAATAAGGTGTTTATCATTATTCACTCTTTCCCCACAGGCTGTAAAAGCAAAGAGGTCGTTTCGGGGGACCCACAGGAAGTCAGGTGTATTCTAGAAAGGGTGCAGGGGTCACTTTATCCTGGCATTCTGGGTCTACACATCTCTGGAAAGATGTCTTCTTAGCTTTCTTAGCTTTACCTCTTCACCCCGTACCCTGCAGTCTTAGCAACTTACCACCGGGCAGCGGGTCAGGGCAGAACCTACCTGTACGCACCAACCAAGGGTGCCTCCTTCTGTTGGCATCAGTGTTACAGGCATCTTCTCTTCGCTTCTGCACTGGGAAGTCCCCCATAACGCGCTTTCAAGCCCTGCACGTATGCTAGACGGCGGTGGGAAAGACATCTGATTTTGAGGCAGAACCCTGCAAAGAAGGGAAAACACCTGCATAAGAAGCATGGCTCCACCGGGGCTGTCTTATTCGAATTCGCTTTCTTTTTCCGTTTCCCACAGTGCCTGCGACCGAAACACGGTCCTTGCCAGGACCAACCAAAGGGCGTCTCCTCCCCAAGGAAACCTACACTCCCCGCCTGGCGGATTACGTCGGGAAAGCCCTGACGCAGGGGGGGAAGAGAATCGAAACAGAAACCGAAGTTCGGAAAACTACAAGAACTGCCCGGCGGAAAGCGGGGCTCAAAGCTCCCTCTCGAGTTTGCAGCGGCGGGTCTCTGGCGGGTCTCCGGCGAGCACTGCAGAGAGTCGGAGGTAGCGCGCCTGCCCGGCCGCAGCGTCTCGCCGCCACGTCCCTAGGCCCGTAGGCCCGGCCACCTGCCCACCCGCCCCCTCCGCGGGTGCGACCGACCGCGCCCTCGCGCCCCGGCCCGCGGGCCCTCGCGCACCCCGGCCGTCAGGCACCTGGCTGTGAACCCTGTGGCTGCCAAGGCAGCCGACCGCGGCGCGCACCTCTCACCTGTAGAGCAGAGAGAGAACAGCAACCGTCGGTCTACTTGGGAGAACCCCCTCCCTTTTCTGAGCACGAACGAAAGATGTCGAATGGATATTGCGCAGACAGGAGTTTCTGCTACCTCCTCTCGTGTTTCAGGACCAGAGTGAAAACGTACATCCAGGTGGAGCCCGTACTGGACTACCTGACCTTTCTCCCTGCAGACTTGAAGGAGCAGATTCAGAGGACGGCCGTCACCGCTGGGAACATACACGCAGCGGAACTGCTTCTGAGCACCGTGGAGAAGGGAGTCTGGCCCCCGGGCTGGGCTAGACAATTTGTGGTGGCCCTTCAGAGAGCAGGCAGCGTTTTAGCCGCCCGCTACCTGAACCCAGAGCTCACCGACTTGCCCTCTCCATCCTCTGAGAACGCTCATGATGAGTGTCTCCAGCTGCTGAACCTCCTTCAGCCCTCCCTGGTGGACAGAATTCTGGTTAAAGATGTCTTGGATAAGTGTGTGGAGGAGAAACTGTTGACAAACGAAGACAGAAATCGGGTAGGTGTCCTCTCAGGTGGAGGGACATTTTGTAACTCGGGGTTGCGCCTTCATTTGCCCCACTCCAAATGTTCTTTGGTATCTTTGGGTAAATGTGGTTCCCTCCTTCCTTTAGAATTCTCGAGACTAGTCAGGCACTTACAAACATTATTTTGAAAATTTAAATATAAGAAAAGCTCTTTTTCTAATCCTTTCACTAAAATAAGCTAAAGAGGAGCTAACTCCAAAATAGTAATGCATACTAATAGATAACATTTATTGAGCACTTACTGCAGACAATTGGTATCATGTGCAAAACGTATATCAGAGTACATGCTCCCAGTAATCCATTATGACTTTTAAGGTTATTGGGGCGCCTGGGTGGCTCAGTTGGTTAAGTGTTTGACTCTTGAAGTGGGCTCAAGTCATGATCTCACAGTTCATGGGATTGAGCCCTGTGTTGGGCTCTCTGATGGCAGTGCAGAACCTGCTTGGGATTCTCTCTTTTCCTCTCTAGCCCCTCCCCTGCTCGTTCTTTCTCAAAATAAATAAACTTTTAAAAAAAGGTTTTTTAGATTATTAATTTTGTTTTACAGATGATAAAACTGAGGTGGGTTAATAACTTGCCCCAGGTGTTCCAGGAAAGCAGCATCAGAGCTAAGGACCTACTTCCTGGTGGTGTGCAAGTATATGTCTTAATTTATATAGTCCATAGAATGGACCCATGGGCTGAGTCCAGTCTATTACTGGTTTTTGCAGACCCAAAAACTAAGCATGGTTTTTACATTTTAAAATTTTCAGTGTTGATAAAGAAAGTTTTCCTGGAACACTGCCATGTTCATTTACATGCTAGGACAGCTTCTACACTTTTTAAGAGTAGTTAAACAGAGATCATACAGCTCACAAAATTTGCAGTACTTATTATCTGGACTTTACAGATAAAAAATGCCTATTTTTGGCCTATATTATACTTTATGCCATTCAGTCTTGGTCCAAGTGGAGAAATTACGACGCGTGCGCGCGCGCGCGCGCACACACACACACACACACACACTCTCTTTTTCTTTAATCAAAGTTATAAGTTATGACATTCTCTGGGAATCAAAAGTGGCAGATAATTCATTGAAAAAATAAACATTTTATTCTGCAATTGCAGTTTTTTTGTACTAGCAAAGAAGTAGTAGATTTTTTAGGTGGCATTTTGACAGGGTGAATTTTACAGGGAACTTTACATTTAATGTAATGTTTCATTGTTCATTGTTTCCCAATGAACAAGGTTTCTCCCTTTTTCTTTCTTTTTCTTTCTTTCTTTCTTTCTTTCTTTCTTTCTTTCTTTCTTTCTTTCTTTCTTTCCCTTCCTTCCTTCCTTCCTTCCTTCCTTCCTTCCTTCCTTCCTTTTAGATTCATCAATTATTTGTATCTTCATTACAAAGCTCAGGCATTGGCCTCACATGAGCCAGTGATGTAACTTGGTCTTTAGTGACTAAAGTTAGTGTTCCTTTGTAGACGTGACAGCCATAGGGCCTGTCCAAAGACCCAGGCATGCATCTAATTTTGATGGCTGGTTTTCCCAACAAGTAAATTACTTTACACTGTTGTCTGTAACGTTTATGTAGTTTTGTGTATTGAGAACCAGCTAGAACGCATTCTAGTAGTCCAGCTGGATATGACAAATGTGTACATCACTGTGGCAGAATCTTAATTTGGAAGACAGTATGCAGCCTTCAAGCCAGCTGGAGATGGAAGATGGCATTTCCAGCCACAGTAGCTGTTAGGAAGTCCAGAAGCAACAGAGTCCAGTAACACCACAAAGCTGTTTATGTTTGGTGGGTATGATGTCCCGATTGCCAGCGAAACAGCACTTCTCCTTATTTACTCTAAATACTTCTGCCTATCAGCATCACTTTTGTCTTGCCTGGATTGAATTTCCGCCAGCTAGATTTTATCCAAGTTCTTGATTCTGGCAAGCTTGGAGGCAGCTAGCAGTAAAGCTTGGGATTTGACACAAAGAAGATGTAGACTAAAGGGACATTTGTGTACTGGGTGGCAGTTAAAGCCAAAGCAACCCAAACTCTCCCTCAAATTCATATTTCAAAAGAGGCTCCGAAAGATGGAGGAGCTATGCATTTGAAGCTTTCTAAGGAGGAGTAGTGTCTCTGTGAGATTCTGGAATCGTCTTTGTACACATCATTTTAATGTGTCATCAGTCTCAAAACTAAACTATTGATGACAGTGGAAAAGAAGCTTTAGGATTAGAGGAATCTATATTAATATGGGGATCATTGATCACCATTTATCTCAAAACAGCAAAGCATACTGGGGAAAAACATGAAGAATTTGGAATGGGAAAACCATTCCCATCTCAAATCTATGTTTGTTTCTTACTGTATGTGTGTTACTTTGGGTCAAGTTATTTAAGTTCCTTGATCCTAAATTTACCCATGAAAATGGACATAATCATGTCTCCTCTCACTCACAATACTTTAGTGAATGCAAATGAGAAATCATGTTTATGAAAAAAGTCTTATCAAGAGTTGTTTTGATATGATGATGATGATGACTTCTATCATCATTCATTTGGGTACATTTGCCTGTGAATTTAAAGTTTCAGAGACTTGGGGCTCCTGGGTGGCTCAGTCGGTTAAGCGTCCGACTTCGGCTCAGGTCATGATCTCACGGTCCGTGAGTTCGAGCCCCGCGTCGGGCTCTGTGCTGACAGCTCAGAGCCTGGAGTCTGCTTTGGATTCTGTGTCTCCCTCTCTCTGGCCCTCCCCCGTTCATACTCTGTCTCTCTCTGTATCAAAAATAAATAAAACATTAAAATAAATTTTAAAAAAAGATTTAAAAAAATTAAAAAAAAATAAAGTTTCAGAGACGTACGTAAATCCCCTACATTGAAGCTCAGATATGCTTAAATTCCCTGGATTAAACTGTGATTCCAAGCAAAAGCTGTGTCTTTCACCTCTAGAAATCTAGCTAAGGCTAGGTATAGATTGGTACTCGATAAGAATTCATTGACTGATTGGTTTTATTTCCAAACAGTTGTCTGGAATAAAGGATAAGGGATGAGAACACGTGACGTCATGAATTGCTTTGCCAGGCATTTGGAAATGGATGGATGATGGACACAAGAGCCCCAAGCTTGCTTTTGTGACAGCTTAAAGTAGTATTTGAGTAAGAAGTCAGGACTTCTAAAAATTAGTTTAATTATTTTCCTATTTGGTCTGGCATTTTAGTTCACGATTCTCATGTCCATCACTGCAGCCCCTGGCCCCAGACATCAGAGTCTCTAGAAATGATCCTAGATTTAGTTCTGTGTCCAGCAAGTACTCAAAGAAACTTATTTAAAGGATTGATTATTCATTCATTCGGTTTAAATTTATAGAGTGACGTCTTGTGCCAGGCACCATGCTAGTGGTAAAAAGACTGGATAATAATGCGGATATTGTCTCTGCTTTCATGGAGCCTATGTTGTAGTGTGGATCAGTATCCATCTAATAAATAGTTAAAGAATGTCTAGTGTGCGCAAGGCACTCTTGTAAATACTGGAGGCCCAATAATAAATATAAGAATCACTTCATAGATCATTGTAATGTAATGATCCCTAATAGAAAGGGAGTGCCCCTGTACTGACCTGCTTTTTTTAAGGATGCTTAGTGACCTCTTGGCACATCCATTGACGTAGACAGCCATGAATTTTGGAAAAGAGGTGATAATATAAACATTTCCATAGTATCTTAATAGCAGTCCGAACACCTCAAGAGAGGTGCATGTTCCAATCCTGGCCAGCTCAAAGCAGTAAACATCCATAGTTCAGGAAGACCCCATATATGTCTCATTTACATAGGAGATGCAGAGATACTGTGATGAGTGCAGCTAGAAACCAAGTCCAGTTGTCCTTACGTGACCGCCAAAGACCTGAGTCCGTCTCTCCCAGCTTACTGTATTGTCAGGTAAATTCTGATGCTTATTAGCAAGAAAAAATACTATACTAGTAAGAAATTAGTTATGGCAATGTGATGATAGATATTCATTTAGAAACACATTAAGTTTTTATGGGGAACTAGCTTTTAAAAATTCTTTGCTTTTAACATATGAGTTTTGCCTTCTGATTTACTGGTGTGAGAGCTAAGGTCTGCTGTGTTAAAAAAAAAATTACCATTATATTTAAATAGCTCTCTAAGGTTTTTATGAAAGAGAGAAAACATTTTTGTCAAACTTTACAATTGTGTTGGCAAGCCAGTGTTTACTGAAAAGTATCACTGTTTTCTCTCCTGATTTCTGTTGGAAAGAAAAAACATAGATGAAAGAATTTAGAAGGTGAAAGCATATAATTGTATTACCCACAAATTCATATTTATTTTATAAATTAGTTAGCAGTGTATCCATAGCTATTTTAAACTGCATATTCAGAGAAAGTGTTCACTGGGGGAAGAACATGAGTGAGAATCACTACATGTCCTGTTGAAGTCTCAAGTCTAAATATCTTTCCAAGAGTTTCCATAATCAAACTTAATATTGGAATCTAATGTCTTTAGTATGATTTAGGAGGACAAATTAAGATATATATATATATATATATATATGTTTATATATGTATGCTTATATATATTATATATATTTATATTTATTTATTATTTATATATTATTTATTATTATTATATATATATATTTATATATGACTGCTTCAAAGGGAATTGATCTACTTTCTACCACCCAAACTTAGAAAACTTCTTAAAAACTGAGGATCTTGATGAAGCTGCTAAAATTGCACAGGTGTTATATGTAGTTCCATATTCAAATAATATAAATACTTGCAGGAAATAATGGCATAATGATCTTCAACTGCCTGAACTCAATAAGGACAAAACAAGTTTGACAAATGTAATTCTACAGTTAATATCAACTTAACTGATTAAGAGTGGAAGAAAATTTAGTGCCTATAATATACTTAGATTTTTAGTAAGAATATTCATTACAGTGCCTCACTTGCTGTTTTTAGAGAAACGCTTTCTGATTACTTCTGTCAGATGGATTTGAAGCTGATTAAAGAGTGGGGTAATTAGAAATAGGAATGGTTGAGTTAAAAGAAGGTGCTCTAGAAAAATTTTTTTTAGTTTATTTATTTGGAGAGAGAGTACACACGGGAGGGGCAGAGAGAGAGAGAGAGAGAGAGAGAGAGAGAGAGAGAGAGAGAATCCTGAGCAGGCTCCACACTATGATAGTGTGAAGTCGGATGTGGGGCTTGAACTCACGAACCATGAGATCCTGACCTAAGCTGAAACCAAGTTTCAGTTGCTCAACTGACTGAGCCACCCATGTGCCCCTAAAAGAAGTTTGCTTAAACCAGTCTTACTTAGTATCTTTAGCAACTATTATTAAATTAGCAAATAATAATAAAGACATTTACAAACAACATAGAAGAAATGTTTCCAATAGGAGATTAATGAAGTTAGAGAAAAGGTAGGAAATGAGCAAGAATCTGCTTAGAAAATGCTCTGGGGGAGATGGACTGAAATCACCTAAATTTAATTAAATCCAGTAGTCATCTTAACCATTTCTTGCTGGAAAATGTGCTTAAAGTTGGAGAGGATTAGTAAGTATAATTAGAGTTCAGGAAGGCAGTATTTGGCCTCTGAAACCAATTGCCTGGGATAAAATTCTACCTCTGCCATTTAACTAGCTTTGTGGCTCCAGAAAGGTAACTGGAATTTTCTGTGCCTTGGATTTCTGATCTGTAAAATGGGTTAATGTTGGCTCCTTCTTCAGGATTTCTGGGTTAATATATACAAACACTTTATAATAACATTAGTAAGTATTCTCTAATTAAGACTAACATACCCAATGGGTAGAAATTATGCTGTACACTTCTCTACTAAGTAGTGCCCCTGGTGAAGTGTTTATACAGGTAGATGCTTTCTTCAGTCATCCATAATAATAACTAACACTGAATTTGTGTCAGACACTGTTTCAAAAATGCAAACTAATACCTGACACTAAAAGGTTATGGGACATACTTACAGCACTAGAAAATACACAAATTTAATGAGAAACAATTAATCTAGCTAATCAACCCAGATTATACATGTAGAAAGTGGACAAATGATCAGAAGGGCCTTTGAGAGTAGGTAAGTCAGTATTTCTCATCGAAGCCGCTAATTAGAAGTGAGAGATCCTTAAAAAACGTTTTGGCTTCCCCACACAGACAAAACAAGTCAGAATCTCTGGGAGGGAGGGTAGATCCCAGGCATGAGTGTTTTTTTAAAGTTGCCCAGGTGTGTCTAATGTGCAGGTTGGGTGAAGAAGCCACGACATTTCTTTTCAGTTGCCTTGTTTTGCACATGCAGAAACTGAGGCCCAGAGAGATGATGTGGCTGGCGTCACGGCACAGCAAGCTGATGGTGTGGTGTCTAATTTCTTTCTGGTCTAAATGTGGCTTGTATTAGCCTTTTCTTCAAATGTTTGGTGCTGTGTGAAGTCCTGGGAAGTGCACTGTGATAATGATTACGTGAATGATCCACACTTAAAAAGATTTGCTGGTTTAATCTAAACGAGACATTAAAGGAAGGCTAAAGGTTGTAATGAATAGATATAGAAATAATTCTGCCCCATACTTTAAGAAAGGAATGTGTGCACAAATCCCTTTGTCTCATAATACTAAATAAACACAAATTTAGGAAAAATGTTATGGTCGAGTACATATTACAGATATTAAGTTAGCAAGAATATAAGTCTTGTGATAGTAATTCCTTCATAGTAGTGATAGCCAAGCAATATTTGGTTTCCTATTTATAGACTCCATGGGTTTACAAGAAATAGCAAGCCCTGGATATACCGAAATAAATTAATGCAAATAGACATAGCAGAACTAGAAATTAAAGACACTTTCTCCTGCACCCCTTGTTCAGAATGGTTGAGGTAAAACATTTATTTCCTAAGCGTCAGTTTTGAATATCTCAGTGGCTTTAAAAATGGTGCATAGTTTTAAGGGGGCTTGGGCCAGAGATTTGCTCCCCGCTACAATCCAGAGTTGCTACAAGTGACATTCGTCTTTTCTCTCATATTTGAATATAAGCCTTTATTAACACTGATGCTTAATTGCTCACTTATTAAACAATGTTTAAACATTGTTTAAAATTGTTCAGAAGATGTTTGTTCTTTTTATCCACTCATCAGTTGATGGACATTTGGGCTCTTTCCATAATTTGGTTAATGTTGATAACACTGCTATAAACGTTGGGTTACATGTGTCCCTGTGAATCAGCACTCCTGTATCCTTTGGATAAATTCCTAGTAGTGGTATTTCTGGGTCTTAGGGTGATTCTATTTTTAATTTTTTGAGGAACCTCCATACTGTTTTCCAGAGTAGTGCACCAGTTTGCATTTCCACCAACAATGCAAGAGTTCCCCTTTCTCCACATCCTTACCAACATCTGTTGTTTCCTGAGTTGTTAATTTTAGCCACTCTGACTGGTGTGAGGTGGTATCTTATTGTGATTTTGATTTGTATTTCCCTGATGATGAGTGATGTTGAGCATCTTTTCATGTGTCTGTTGCCATTTGGATGTCTTCTTTGGAAGAGTGTCTATTCATGTCTTCTGCCCGTGTCTTCACTGGATTATTTGTTTTTTGGGTGTTGAGTTCGATGAGTTCTTTATAGATTTTGGATACTAAACCTTTATCTGATATGTCGTTTGCAAATATCTTCTCCCATTCCATTGGTTGCCTTTTGGTTTTGGTGATTATTTCCTTTGCTGTGCAGAAGCTTTTAACTTGATGAGGTCCCAGTAGCTCGTTGTTGCTTTTATTTCCCTTGCCTTTGGAGACATGTCACGTAAGAAGTTTCTGTGGCTGAGGTCAAAGAGGTTGCCTATTTTCTCTTCTAGGATTTTGACAGTTTCCTGTCTCACATTTAGGTCTTTCATCTATTTTGAATTTATTTTTGTGTATGGTGTAAGAAAATCATCTTGTTTCATTCTTCTGCATGTAACTGTCCAGTTCTCTCAACACCATTTGCTAAAGAGACATTTTTTCATTGGATACTCTTTCCTGCTTTGTCAAAGATTAGTTGGCCATACATTTGTGGGTCCAATTCTGGGTTCTCTGTTGTATTCCATTGGTCTATGTGTCTGTTTTTGTGCCAATACCATACTGTCTTGATGATTACAGCTTTGTAGTACAGGCTAAAGTCTGGGATTGTGATGCCTCCAGCTTTGGTTTTCTTTTTCAGCATTACTTTGGCTATATGGGGCCACATTTTAGGATTCTCTGCTCTAGCTCTGAGAAGAATGATGGTGCTATTTTTATTGGGTTTGCATTGAACATGTAGATTGCTTTGGGTAGTATCAACATTTTAACAATATTTGTTCTTCTAATCCATGAGCATAGAAGATATGGTATACATATACAATGGAATACTACTCGGCAATGAAAAAGAATGAAATCTTGCCATTGGCAACAACATGGATGGAAGTAGAAGGTATTATGCTAAATGAAATAGGTCAGTCAGACAAAGACAGATATCATATGTTTTCACTCATTTGTGGAAGTTGAGAAACTTAACAGAAGACCATAGAGGAAGGGAAAGAAAAAATAATTACAGAGAGGGAAGCAAACTATAAGAGACTGTTAAATACAGAGAACAAATTGAGGGTTGTTGGGGTGGGGAAGGCAGGGAAATTGTGGGATGGGCATTGAGGAGGGCACTGGCTTGGATGAGCACTGGGTGTTCTGTGTAAGTGATGAATCATGAGAATCTACTCCTGAGGCTAAGAGCACACTGTATACACTGTATGTTAGCCAACTTGACAATAAATTATATTTTTTTAAAAAAGTAAATTTTAGAATAAAAAATAAAATAAAAATGCAAAAAAAGATGTTTTTTTCTTTTTATCCTCCTTTTCCCTTAAAACAGATTTCTGCTGCAGAAAGCAATGGAAATGAATCAGGTGTAAGAGAGCTACTGAAAAGGATCGTGCAGAAAGAAAACTGGTTTTCTGCATTTCTGACTGTTTTGCGTCAAACAGAAAACTATGCCCTTGTCGAGGAGCTAACAGGCACCACTTGCTTTGGAAGCAATGCAGGTATCTTATTTTACTAAGAAAGAGTTTACATTTTTCCTAGTGATTGAGAGTTTAATGAAGAGTGTAGACACAACACTAAGCACTAAGATAGAATCAAAATTTCAAAACTGGAAGCAATTTGAGAGATCATCTATTTTTTTCCCCCTTTACAAATGAGGAAACTGTTGCCTGGGAAGAAATAAACTTACCAAAGGTCACAAAACTCAGCCAAGTGGGCTAGAATATTGGCAGCTGACCACTAGTCTAACACTGTTTCTATGACCCATCCTATATTGGAAACACAGTGATTACCTAAAAGTTTTACTCAAAATAATTGATACATTGATTAGACAACCAATAAATTGGAAGAAAATATTTTAGTGGCTATTACAACTCTGCTGCATAGTCTTCTGGACATTTATATCAATTTTTAAGGAATTTATTAAATATTTGTTAAAAGGTTAGTAATTACCAGCGTATCTCAAATTAATTCCTGTTTCTTCGATCCTTCAATATGATAATAAAAGTAACATTTTAGAGCCCTTGCACATATATTATTTCTAAATCTAATGTAAACTACCATCTTATTTTTCTTTTCAGGGTGTGGATCTTATGTTTTAAAAAATCTCATATGTAAGATAAATCAAAAGCTAATTGGTAATGAATGATTTAAATAGATTAGAGTCACTTCAGGCCTACTTGACTTTTTCTGTTAATCCAGTCATTCCATCATTTGTTCAATTAACATGGAATGAGTGTGAGACACTGTTCTAGGTGACATAGATGTGGACTTAAATGAGGCACGCAAAGTTCCTATTGCCACATATGCCTTTCTAATGGAATAAGATACACAGTACACACTTTTCTAAGTTGTTTGTGTGGAATAAAAACAGATAGTTACTCAATTATTAGAATAAACAACATATTATATTTTTATTCTATATTATTTATAAAATAGCTTGATTTTGCCCAGTAGTTACAAATACACACACACACACACACACACACACACACACACACACACATGTGTATATACCTGTGTATATATATATCTGTTGTATGTATGTATATACACAGAGATAGGCAGACAGACACGCACACATCCATGATGAGTTCCCTTTCAGGACATCATGGAACCATTTCCATCCATGACAAACATTCAAGGGCTTAAATTTCAAAGAGAAAGTGGCTGCAGTCTACATTTGTTTGTTTCTTCCCTGGGAAATATTGGTCTCAGTGTATCAAGTGATATTAGAAAGGGTAGCCTTTCGGGTCACAAGACCGTGTCATATCCATCCCTCACATTTGATGGTACCTACGCATTTTACAGTTGTGTTCAGTGGCTTCCTGTTTAGGATGGAGTCTAGAAGATCTGCTCCAAAGTGTCTTCTAGATTCCCCTGATATAGACAACATGTCTGGCCATATTTCTTTCTAAAATATTTTTAAGTTCCTCTAGACAAAAGCTTTGCTAGAAGGGTAGTGTAATTTTAAAAATTACAATTCTTTGAACAAGAGTAACGTGGGTAAATCTAGTAAATCCCAGGTAATAGGTACATCGTTAACACCTCGTCACATACACCTGGTGTTCTCATGCCTTCCTCTGACCTTTCTTTACTGCATGCCATGACTTTGTGTTTTATGAGGTCTTTATGTGTCTGTTTCAGAATGGCTTAGGGACTAAACCCACGCACATATCTTGGCTGGTCAGGGCCACGCCCTTTGTAAAAGGGGGAAAGGCCTTGTGAAAAGAAAACAGTGGCACCAGCTATCCATCCCCCCGTCCTCCCTCACTGGTCCCACAGCCAGGCCCTCTCATGGTTGGGGCTTCTCCTTCATTCGACCACTGCAAGTGGTGACACATGTTGACCCAGATATGAGGGCTTCCGTGAGGGCAGGGGGCAGCATGCGAAGGGGTCACCGAGCTTCCTCTGAGGGTTGAAAGGACAGCACCAATCCCTGGCTGGGGCAACATTTGTGCAGTATCTCGACACCCCGACTGCAGGCAGGTTGCTCCTGATCAACTCACTCCAAAAAGTAGGGCTTAGTTTTTCATTTCGTCAGAACATCCAATCAGAGGAGTTGGGCTTTAAGTTTTGTTTGCTGAACTGTACCTCTTTGGATGGGAATCTAAGCATTTTTCTGGCTTTAATGACCAGAGTAACGTTAGCTGTGACTCTTCTTGTGGTGAGGAGCTGCTATGGATGAAATTGTGTTTCCCCAAAATCCATATATTGAAGCCCTAATCTCTAATGTGACTGTTTCTATGGATAGGGCCTCCAAGGAGGTAATTAAGGTTAAATGAAGAGAGAAGGGTGAGCCATAATCTGATAGGACTGTGGCTTTGTAAGAAGAGATCTCTGTCTCTTTCTCCACCATGTGAGGACACAGTGAGAAGGCGGCCTGCTGCAAAACTCATAGCAGACACCAACCTTGTTGGCACATTGATCTAGGACTTCTGATCTCCAGCACTATGCGAAAGTAGAATTCTCTTGCTTACGTCATTCAGTCTATGGTATTTTGTTATTGTGGCCTGAGCTGACTGTTACAGCAGCCTAGGCTCCAGACCCTGATGCTTCTTGAATCCTGGCTCTTTTACTTCCCTCGATGTGTAACTCTAGAGCAAGTCCTTGCCCTCTCTGTGCCTCAGTTTACTCCTCTGTGCAATGGGGAGAATACTATTACCTATTACCTAGGGCTACTTTGAGGATTAAATGATTCAACACTTCTATCGCACTTATATGATAAGGGTAAAATAAATTGATTATTATGATTATGAACCCCAAACAAAATGTGTACCTGCAGACATTGCCAAGTCATCTAACAGAGTCCAAAGTCACAACAATTTTCTTTAGGAAATTCTCCACACGCAGACATACTTTCTTTAAGATGGGCTAATCCAAAACGATACTTTAAGCAATTTTATTTATGGGATCAGTCTTCGCTGATAGATTGTAGCTTCAAGAGGACAGAAACTCGATTTTTCTTTGTAGCTCACGTAGTCCCTTAAGAAAACACTCAAAACATGTTGGTTGAAGGAAGGAAGAAAGGCCGTTGGGAGAAATGGAGGGAAAGAGAAGGGAGGGATACAGAATATTTCATTGAATTCCTAAAAAATCTCCAGATATCCAAAATACATGAATTTAGGCTGACATTAAAGCATATGTACATCTCATATAGAACACATAGCGAGGGAACAAAATGGCAAGAGCGCAAGCTAAAGAAAACCACCACCAAATTTGCATTTTCATAATTCAGCCTTAAATATAACTTTGTATCACTGCATCCGTGGCTTACCTCCTACCAGTAATGGTCAGCTAGGACATCATCATGCTCTTTTTTGTGACTAGCATAATACTTATTTTACTGTCTTTTTAGATGAAATTTAACCATTAGAAAAGAATTACTCACTGTGTCCACATTAAAAATAGAAATACTGTATCATAACAAAAAATATGTTCCTCGCTTTTCAAAATGTCAAAGTATGAAAGTATATTCTGGCAAATTTCTCCTAGAAACTTCCACTTGGTTTTTACAATAACAATAACAGCTATTTATATTGTGTAGAAACTTGCATTACCGTACAATTTACGTTCTGTTTAGAATTCCAAAGTACTTCAGTCTATGCAGGTAAATGCCTATTCGGAACTCCTGTTTTGTTTTCAGGATAGCAATCACAGTTATGCAGACTCTATAAAAACTTGCATTGCACTATTGTTTACAGTCTCATGCTGTATTCATAGGGACTGAGAGTTTATCACAAGAAGATGGCCCTGAAGTTAAAGAGGGGGTTCTTGTAGCCACGGGTCAGCTGAGTCCAGACAAAGAAGGTCGGGACACGGAGACTCACTCACTGGAATCGTCTTTTGCGGATCCTTGTGTAACTTCAGGTATTTGGAACCTGCACACATTTTACAGCATTTTACTAATTACGACTTCCAGAAACAATCAGTGGGTGGATTGATGACATCACGATCTGTTAAACAGAGGGAGAAAATTCAGGCTTTGGGGTTTTGCAAGCATTTTTATTAAAATCTTATTTCTAGACAAGATTACATTTTCTTTGTGGCTAAAAATGTTTTCATAACTAATGCAATATTAATATGTGATGAATATGAACACATTTGGTTCTAATTTTGCCTTACAAGGTATCCATGGTCTTTGTGATGTGATAGGCATTTATAAGCATACCTTATTTATAAGCATACCTATACCTTATTATAGTTCATAGTTTTTCATAGTTTTCAAATACTTTCAAATGTATGAATTAGTTTGATTCATCCAAAGCTCTGAGAAAGTAAAAGGCCGTTCATTATCTTTTTCTTATTTCATAGACTGGGATGTCTCAGAGAGGTTCAGTTTTTGTAGACACCAAAAGCAAGGCTGTAGAAAGGCAGATGAGGGGAGGCTAAACTGGGGTTGGCTTGATTTGCAGTAACTAATTGGTGACAGAACTGTTTACCGCCATGACCACCTTTCTGATATGAGAAGTCACTGGAACAATAATACCAATTTAATTACATTTCCTTCCCTAATTTTCTCACGATAGGAAGATCTTTCTCCCTTCCCCTTTCCCCACCTAAGGGCCGCATTCTATTTTCATAGGAAATAGTCATTTAACAGAAACAATTTTTCAGGATCTGTAGTGTGCTGGTAAATGTTGAACAAGCAAGTGTCTGGGAAGAAAGAAGGGAAGTCCTGACTTGTAGCATTTGCCAGTCCTCACAGGGCAAATGCTCCCACTAAAGCTGGTGTCAAACCTCCAACATCATGTCCCTGAGTTGAGAAGAGAAAAGAGGGAGCTCACCATGGTGTTAGCATTTCCAGGATGCAGACACGAGGGGCGTAAACAGCATCAACGTCACGGATGATAGTAAATTTCAGGAACACGATAAGGAAGTGATGAGTTTTAAGTATTCATTACCTTGATTTCAATACAATTTATTTAATTATACATTTATATAATTCATTTGCTAATGTTTATGTATGTATGTATTTATTTCTAGAACTTGAGGGAGAGAGGGTGTGTGCAAGCAGGGAAGGGGCAGAGAGAGAGGGAGAGAGTCTCAACCAGGCTTCAGGCTCAGTGTGGAGCCGAAGATACAGGGCTCAACCTCGAAACCGTGAGATCGTGACCTGAGCCGAAATGAAGAGTCAGTCGCTTAACCAACTGAGCCACCCAGGTGCCCCTATATAATTTAATTTTTAAAATGACTGTGTTTGACAGCCTGCTCACAAAATTCCTGAAGATTTAACAATTGGTTTTTGCGAGCCCGTTTAAGCTGACTCCATCACACCACTGCAGAGTTCACTATTTTTTCTCCATTTTTTAAAAATAATCTCTAACCCCAGGGTGGTGCTCGAACTCACAGCCCTGAGATGAAGAGTCCCATACTCCACTGACTGAGCAAGCCAGGTGCCCCCCAAAGTTTACTATTTTCTACTTCAGAAAAGTAATACAGTTGCATTGCAGAATACTTGGAAAATGTGAAAACATACAAGGAAAAAGTCACCCATACTGCAGCAATGTAGATCTATTACTCTTAACATTTGGGTTATCTATCCTTCTAATCTTTTTACATAAGTGAATGTTTTATACATGGTGGCATTTCTCCTGTGTTCCTAGGTATTCTTCCACAGCCTGGTTTTTAGTGACTTAATAATATTTCCATTTATTGGATGATTTATAATTAATCAATCAATCGTTAAATATTTAGGATGTTTAAAAATCTCTACATTGTGAACAAGTCCCTTAATATCTATGTTTCAATTTAATTCCTTTTTTTAAATTTAATTCTTAAAAGCATATTACATAACTGGAATTTCTGGATCAAATGATCTCTACAATATTAAAATGCCTGATACTTAATGTCAAATTACCTCCAGAAACTTGTACCAAATTACATGTTCTTTGGGAGTATAAGAGACTGTGTATTGCCCTGATGTCTCTTCTACAAGAAGAGGTAATTCAAACTTTGCCAATTTGGTATCTTGCTACTTGAATTTGAATTTTTTGATTTCCAATGAAAAGCATTTTTATAAGTTTATTCTTTTTGTTGTTGCTAATTGCCTATTTTTATGTTAGTGTATTAATATTCTTCTTGATGGTTTATATGAACTATGTGAAACATGTAGGATAGCAATCTTGTCATAAGTAGCACGAGTGTGTATTATAGTTTCCCTGCTATTCAAGCTTGTGCCTTGTTTATAGTTTTTTTTGTGTTTTTTCTTCTCTTCTCTTCTCTTCTCTTGTCTTCTCTTTCTTTCCTTTTCTCTTCTCTTCTCTTCTCTTCTTTTCTTTTCTTTTCTTTTCTTTTCTTTCCTTTCTTTCTTTCTTTCTTTTTTTTTTTTTAATGCAATGCTTCTCAGGCTTTCCTGTGTGTCTGAATCACCTAGGGGAGCCGGTCTTACTGAAATGCGTTCTGATTTAGTAGGTCCTGTGTGGGGCCTGAGATTCTGTGTTCCTCACATGCTCCCAGGTGACACTGTACTGCTGGTCCTGGACCACACGTTAGGTAGTCAGGCTTAATATATAGAATAGCAAAAACTTGAATTCTAGAGGGTTTTTTTTTTTTTTCATTTGAGCAGCTGCACTTTCTTTCAGAAATCATGATTTGATAGGAATGCCAAAATGTACTATCTGAATGTAGGTTTGTCACATTTTAACATACTTCCTTGGTAGGCTACCTGACGTCTCCGTGGGTTACTGGCTACTTTCTAAATCCACACTAGAAAGAATCAAAGACAGGACTGAAGCTGGCAGACGATCCTGCATCTCAAATGCGAGTTTTTCATCAAAGGTTGCCAGCTATGCATCTCATCAGCCTGTAGTTTATGTATCTACAGAGGATTCTGAGTCTCAAAGTGAACAAAATTAAAGGCAAAACTTTAAAATTTTTCTATTTTCTTAGTTCGTATAAAACTTTAAGTTGCATTTTGTGAAAAAATAATCTAGAACGTAATAATGGCCTTAGGGGACAGAAAGGGTTTTTTTGTGTGTGTGTTTGTTTTGTTTTTTACCCCTCTTGTCTTCCCTCTCACCCTCCCTCCCATTTGATCTCTGTACCTTTTGATTCTTTCATGTAACAAATATTTATTTAACTACTATCACGTGCCAGGCATGCAGTGTTCAGTGTTTAGCACTGCAAATACCGTGGGGGAACGTAAGAGAGGTGGGCTTCTGCTCTCATGGAACGTTCAACTGATGGGCACGTCAGTCAAACTGTAGCCACTATATGGCTGCACAGTAAGTGCTAATAACAGTCATACAGTAAATGCAAGTACAGCCTATTAAAACATGTGCTAGTCTGAGAACCTGTGAAAGTATAGTGCGCTAACAGTGATCTGACGACCCCACCCAATCCACAGACTTTAACGACCTTCAGGTCTGTAGGATCCTTATGCCGTATGGATTTCCCTGTGCACATGGGAGCAAGTCAGTCCAATCCATTCTAGCCCTTTTCAGAGAAGTAACGAAGGGTAATTTATTTATTAAAATGTAGTTCCTTAACCTTAGGCCTTAGACACCACTACTCATAGATGCTATGGATCATTCCAAGTGTGTGTTTATTTTCTTATTGCTCTCCAGAACTAAGATGACGGATATAAATAACTTTTAAAGTACCATTAGCCCAAAGCAGCTACTGATGTTTTTTTTGCTTCAAGTTTTTGTTGCAAAATTTACGGTAGGGAGATTTTGCCTATCCTGTCATCCCTTCGTAGAGTTAACAATCAAAATAAAGGAGGAGTTATCCCATAGTTTCTGATATGCATTTGCATAATTTTGTTTTTTGTATTTTATCGATACTGGTAATGTATAATCTTTATTTTGAATTCTAATATATTGGATTAAGATTTCATATACAGCTCAAATATAGTCAATGCTACCAAAGTAGCATTGAAAGAAACGTATTACTTAAGCTGCACACATTCTATAAATATGATTTTTCATATGCAGAAAGAAAAAATGTGACTTGAATTATCTCTAATTTTAAATTGACTCCTCTAATTTTTATTTCTGAACCAGTTTCTAAAATATTTTTTCAGTGCATAGTCTTGGTGCATACAAATGGTAATTATTTATAGCTTCAATGCAAAGATTCCTTGTATGTTGTTTGTTAGCCCTTTTTACTCCTTGACACACCTGACAGGGTGAGATCTACTACCGCTAGGAACGGTAGCCCACCCTGAAACCAATTTGAATCCCATTTCTCCTTCATCCTTGGGGTGATGTATCAGGATTCCCTAGTAGATGGCTCTGGAGAGTGATTTTGTCCTGACTCCACACTGGGGGCTGGCATTGTTCTTCCTCCCTCCTTCCAACTCTGTGCTTCCCATTCAAAACTGGTTAATAATTGAGATATACCAATTTTTAAAATTTGCCTTCTTCCAAATTAACCCAATAATTTCAAAAGGATATTTGAATAGTTCTCAGACTATGAGTAGAATTTTAATGCTGGATGTTATAGTCCTGCTTTCTAAAGTCACTGGCCATCTCTCATAACGAGAAAAATATTGGAAAACCCCCAACTCCCAAGAAAACATCAGAGGAACACAAAGCCCACGTTCATTTTCTTCCATTGAAAATATTTTAATTATAGAAAATACAAAGTTAGCTGGATTATTTTAGTTCTATAGGCTTTCAGTAAAACTGGTTGTACAATTTTTAATAGTCTATTTTTAATAGTCTTTAATAGACTGTTTTTAATAGTCTGCTGTTACTGCTTTCTCAAAACAAGCACGTGGTTCTTCTACACCGACCTTTACATTATACTATTTCAGGAATTAATGATCTATAATAAAATAAAAGTAAAGAAAATGAGATTCAAAACAAAATAAAACGCGTATTTGTAATAAACTTACTTTTATGCAGAATTTCACATAAAATCTC